ATTTTGATCCTCTGCAGAGGGGATGGCACCCTCGCTTCGGTAGCTCAACGACCTGCACGCGAAGTCGAGCACTTTACGGTAGCACAGTTTAACGAGGACACACTCGGTNTAAAAACAAAAAAAACTTTTACTAGTCAAGTTAAGATTAATTAATTTTAAGAATCTAGTGTGTAACTTGTTGATTTTCTTCCTTAAAAATAATCTTTAAACTGTTGAACATTGATTTCAAATTAATTATAGAATTACATTGGGTGGCTGCATTTGTTGTTTTCAATTTAATTTAATTTAATCAATTTATTTCAATTTAAGATTGAGCTAAGATAAAATATCCTAAAGCGAGCATTCTTTGTGGGAAGCAATAAAATGAAATTGAGATAACTAAAGCCATATAGTTATAGTTTTCTATACATCCCTTCTACAACATGGATTTCCTAAGTTCTAAGTACTATATCATCTTCCTGAATCTGTCTGTGAGAGTTGCTAGCACTGAAGATCTGTTTTTCAAAAAATATTTCAAAAGATGTTAATGAATAAAAATAATTTAATATGCAATTCTTGCATGTCACAGAAATACCTGTCGAAGGGCCATTACTTGGCCATTTTGAATTGCTTGATTGTTCCTTTATGGCCAATTTGTTTCCAGACTCCTTTAACGCTTTCACCATTAGTTTTTTAGAAAGAATTTATATTAAAAATAAATTTGAAAAATAATACATCAATAGCTCATATGATTCGTTTAGCACACTAAATTTCTTCCTATCAGCTGAATACATCTTAGGAAAGGTTTAGCATGTTAAGCTGGATTTTCTTTTTTTTTTTTTTTTTTTGCGGNTTTTTTTTTTTTTTTTTTTTTTTTAGATGGTTAGCTATTCTTTTCTCCCTCTTTGAGCATAATTAAAATATTCAAGATTAATGCGTATGTTCAATTTTTTTTAAATTATTTATTATTATAATTTTTGTAATTTGTTTAAACTTTTTCCTGTATAATTTTTTTTGTTAGTTATAATAGCTTGCGTGTAAAAAAGAATGAGGTTAGATCATAAAGAACAGTATTTTTTCAATCTATGAACTATTTGAGATTGATATAATAATATTTTAGTCATAAGTATTTTTATTTCTAGTCAATCATTGTAGTAAAAACTGAGTTTAATTATGAGTCTTACCAATTTTTCATCCTCAATCATTATACTTATTCCTAATATTTCAAAAAAATCGTTTATTACACATCTTAACTAATTTTTTTTAAATTTATGTTCGTATAATGAAATAATGTAAAACTTGTAAAAGCATTTCTAGTATGGCAAATAATTGTAATAATAATTGTACGGCAAATAATTGTTTGTTAATTATTCTCTTTATATAAATCAGGATTGTCCAGTTTTTGACAATTTTCAGTTTTAACTCTTGTCAAAAAACCCTTTTGGACATAGTTTTTAATAATTGTAAAAAAAAAAAAATCAAACTTTTGGTACAGAAAGTAAGCTAGAATATTATAAAAATGCAAAAACAATTTATGAAAAAACAGTGATTAATCATCTTGTTCATTATGTGTAAAATCAATTTTTCTGATTTTAGCAGTTTAGGACACTTTTGGATAGGTTTTCAAATCAGTTTTTGACGTTAAGAACCCAACCCTGGTTTAAATGTCACAATGTAAACACATTTGTGTAAGAAAAAAATGCTTATTTTATTATTCAAGGTGTTAAAAATTTTATTGGTGTTTAAATTGTATTATTTTTTTTTTTTTTAGAATTAGGTTATTGGTCTATAAAATCTAGATAATTTATTTTGAACAAAGGATTTTCTTTTCAGCTTAAATAGTTTTTGGTTAGTAAAGGGAAGAAAATGCAATTACTAAAAGATACACTGAATAAAAATGGTAAAAATCTTTTTACATTTTTATAAATAATTTAAAGAAAAAAAAAATTAAAGAGTAAATTACAACTAAGAAAAAAGAAGAAAATAATAGCTTTTACTTGAGTTAGCCAAGTCTCATGCATACATCCTAATACGTATGACAATACTTAATCAAAAACTCTTGCTAATTCAAGTAAAAGCAGATTCTTTGACTTAAGAATGGCATCTAAATACGAGTATATATGGCTATGCTACTTTAAACGGAAAAATTTGAATTTTTCGTTAATCTTTCGCAATTAAACGAATTTTTTTAAAATATAAGTTTATAGTTTAACAACTCCAAAACCAATTGCACGTTTATGGAGAAAAGAGACTCAGGTCCTTCTTATCCTTAGACATAAAAGCATATTTCTGCAAAAAAATTATAATTCTATTGAGCTTAGTTTTTCCTTTTCTTCAAAAAGTCTAAAAAAAGCTAGACTAAAAAACTTTATAACTTTAAAACTAAGAAGGAAAAAAAAAGGGAGAGACCTGTTATTAAATAATGTGGCACAAATAAGAAACTTCGACATTCAAAAACTAATGTCTATATCAGGGGTGGCCAACCTGCGGTTCTTTGAAGGAATATTTGTAGCTCTCGATAAATGTACCAGAGTTCCCTTTTCATTTTTGTGCTAGTATATTTTAACAAAATTATTATCGTTCCTTAACGAATCGACAGATATCATAGATCTTCCCCAATTGGCAGTTTTTATACGTTTTGTTTCACCTGACTTCGTTTTTAAAAAAGAATTATTAGATTTAATAGCACTTCAAGAGTCAACCAGCGGTATCGATATTAAAAATGCATTGGGTAAAAAAAATCGGTCTTATTGGGATTTTAAGAGATGATTCTGAAATTCCACAATTTATACCAATTCACTGCATAATTCACCGAGAACATTTCGTTACAAAATATTTAAAATATCCTGATGTTATGAAAACAGTGTTACACATTGTAAATTGCATTCGCACCAATGCAAAAAATCATCGAGAATTCAAAAAATATCCTTAAGGAATTAAAGGACAAATGACTTTAATTTCTTTTGCATTGTTAGATGGCTATCTAGCTACAGCGTATTAAATTGCTTTGTAGATTTGTTTGATTCGATAACTGCATTTCTAAAATAAAAGGAAATGACCTATTCAGAATTAGACGATGACGAGTGGTTACTAGACTTATGGTTACTGTTTTTAACAGATGTCATGGAACATTTGCAAACACTGAATTTACGGAAAGATAAAATAATATTTGACCTCTCACTGAGTATATTTAGATTTCAAACTACTTTAGTTTTCAAACTAAATTACAACTTTTTCAAGAGGATGTTAAAAATAAAACATTTTGTCATTTTCCTCGAATTAAAAAAATTTGTTTCAATATTAAACAAGAAAAACTCAGCGAGTATATAAAAAAGCTAAAAGGAATATTGACAAAATTCCAAAATAGATTTCAAGACTTGAAATATTTCAAATCATCCCTTGATTTTTTTCTGAATCCATTTGAAGTTAATATAATTCAAGGTGAGTTTTCCATTTCCAATATAATTATGACCCAAAAAGCACCTAGTAATAGAGATGCAAGAAGATCAAGCTCTACAATTAAAATATAAGTCGACGTCGATTACTGAATTTTGGAAATTTGTACCAGAATCGAAGTATCCTGAATTTAAAAAGGCTGCTTGTCGAATTATTTCAATATTCGGATCAACGTACTTATGTGAATCATTTTATTCCACTTTAAAATTCGTGAAATCCAAATATCAATCAGTATCAACTAACCAGCATCGCAAAGAATTACTGAGAAGTGCTGTCACCAATTATTCACTAAATTTTAAAGAATTATTAAGAGAAGTAAAATAAATTTGATTAATATCTGAATTCAATACACATATTTTGTACTTTTATTTATATGTTTTCAATAAAAAAAATTTTTTTCATACCTTTTAAATACATATTTAATTGCGGCTCGCGAAAAATTTCAAATTTTGAAAAATGGCTCGATTATTAAGGAGCTTGGCCACCCCTGGTCTATAACTACAACATTTTCCTATCAGATCTGGCTGCTCATTAAAATATTTCCGAAAAATAATCAAATTATATGTTTTTATATCTAACAATTTTAGGACTATGAGAATTGAAGATACACTGTGTTCTATTTGAAAGGTACTATTCTCATTATATTTTTCAAAATGTTTGAGAGTTATTCTTTTTTTTTTTTTGCAAATGAAACGACCCCTAATAAATGGAGATTCCATCATATATTTTTCAATTCACACCTTTTTGATCTATATTAGTTTACTACATCAACATTCGTTTATTAAATGTTAGCATAAATTAATATATAAATTGCATTAACTATTACAATCAATCATTGATAACTGACACCGAGCTTTCCATTTAGGCTGTTATTCACTGGGGACTAACAGTGTAAAGTATTATATAAAACTGAAACATTTAAATTCTTTCACATTAAAACTGAAAATGCATTTAAAAATTACTAAATTTTTATTTATTAGAAATCAATTTTTTATCTTTTTCAATCTGTTAGTAGTACATTGCTATACCACAATATGAGGGCTTCTAGGCAGCTTGCTCTGCCGAACAGGGATTTTCTTAAAAATAGGTAAGGCGCTCTCTATGTTAAACAGCATAAATATTAATTAATTTATCAAATGAAACTTTTTATGAAAATTTTCAAGGAGGGAAATGACGTGGTCAGGTGATGTTTACTGACTGGTAACTCTATATTTGCTGCTGAAATCGTTCACAAACTCTTTAAATTTTACAGAACTGTTGCTTTTCTTCGTATTGATATTTTGACCTGCTTTTATAAGATGGCACAGAGAGCGCTGGTTTAGGTGGGGGGGGGGACATAACCTAACAATCACGAATAACTGCTTGAAATGACAAAAAGTTATAAAAAATAACATATAAATCGATAGATATTATATGATATGACAATAAAGAATTTTTTTAAAAACTGCCTTGTAAAAAAAGTACCTCACCTAAGTGAAATCAGCATGTGATATAATCATTATGTTAAAGTAGAGTACTTACATAATTATTATGCCAAGAACGTGGTTAAATAAATACTAATTCTATAAAAGTAACAAATTTATTCAAACAAGATTAGATATACATGTTAACATTTTAGTACTCACATTGAAATAAACAAGCTTCTGAATATTTTTAAATAACTAAAGCTGTGTGTTTCCTATACACAACTATTTTGATTCTTACAATAAATGTTTCTTTTTCTGGAATATATAATTCTAGGAAGACATTTTAATTTTTAGCTGTAACTTTCATTAAAATCTTTTTGAAAAAATAAACTATTTAATTTCAAAAGTTATAAATCTGTACTGTACTTACATAGTACAACTCATAATATATGAAGAGCTAAGTAGATGAAGGCTCTAAGAGATATTTCAATGAACTTGAGTAAATTATTAAATTTTATACATTTAAGGTAGATTATGCTATGCCTTTATTTCTTGTTCGTAAACCTGCCATTAGTTAAATCTAAGAACTAAGAAATCTCTTAAGATCTTCAAAATGTAAAGGCTTGAGGAAGAAAAAAAATTTTTTTTATAGTAAAATAAGAATAATAAAATAAAAATATTTCCCTGAGAAGTCAATTTTTTTTTCAAAAGTGACACTTAGAACCTTCTTCACCTAACTCTTCAAATAGCAAACACATTTTTTAAAGTATTTCTCTTATGTAAGTTTTATTAAAAACATAATAATGAAAAAATGGTAGATTTTTTAAAAACAAGCTTTGTTTGAAGTAATTAAAAATTGGTCAAACATAATTCAAGATTCATCCTATCACTACTCTCTGTACAGTGACAATTATGTAACAGAAATTATTGAATACAAACAATATAAATTTGTACTTTCCTCGCTATTATCAGAGCCCACATTGTTAATAAGTAAAAATGCTTTATCTTAAGTACCAATTTTGATAGTAAATAAAATTTTCAATGGCAGAAAGAGAAATGTGAGCATCAGCTGTAAAATAAATTTGAATTAAAATTTTTTTCTTTAATAAATTTAAATAATTAAATGTTAAATGAAATTTAGTTTATATATAAAAATATATAAGTTGAACCAAAATTAAATATTTAGCAAATGAAATACAAGTTAAGAGCTCAAAAATAAGTAATTATCATTTATACTCAAGATCAATAAATTAAAAAATTTAAATTTAGTTTCTAACAAGACCTCTTTCTTTACATTTATATATGTATAAAAGGAAAGAGAAAAAAAAATATACATATATATATTTCAAATATGAAATTCATGTTAAGAACTCAAAAATAGGAAATTAGCAAAAACTTCCATAATGTTAATTAATCTCAAAGCAGTTAAAATGACAGATTAAGAGACTATTTACAGACAAAAAACATTTAAAACATTCTTTCATCATGTACAAAAATATCACAGTAATTTTTGATATCACATGACAAGTCAAAGGCAAATTACAGATATGAAACAAATAAAAAAGTCTTGACTAACAAGTCTTTTTTGTAACATAGTAATATTCAACAATTTCTTCAATGCTTTTCCAAAACAAAACTCGGTGAATTGCGCCAAAGTCTTTGCCATTTTTCTTAAACTCAATATTATAGAGATTCTTATCTTCTTCACACCAAACATCTTCTAGAGAAGCAATAGGTGGCCTATTCAAAAACCTTCTCTTAGCTTCCTCAGTGTCATAATCTGATCTATGCAATTCAAACAATGCCATTTCTTCATCGTAAGCAGTCATCTGATGGCGACCTCTTCGCCCTGTTATGCCAATGTCTGCAAGATGTTTCTGAACTACTTCCTCACTCAGTTTATAAGGACTCCACACTAAGGTCTCTTTATCCAGGTATGGAGCTTCATCTTCATCATAAGGAGCTGTTGCAAGTGGTGGTATCTCAGCCTGATATTGTTTACCAAGAGGTGTTGAATCTTCGTATTTCGAGTCGAAGTCTACTGATAAAGCACTTTTGGCAGGAGGACCCTTTGCAGTGGTTTTAGATCTGAAAAATAATAAAATATTTTATAGTACATACATTCACCATACACACATATATACATTAAAGGTAAATTGTATAAGTCCTAAGTAATTTGTAATCCTCCTGACACTTGGCAACGAGCCTACACCCCATTAGGCAAATCAGAAAATATATATTATTCATTGCCCAATTGTCCAAGTTTATTTCAGACATTTTTAAAAATTAAGCCCAGAATCTAATAGCAGAGTTCTCCCTGGGAATAAAAAAGGACAGGACAGGCCTCTAAGAAGAAGGCTCTCACTTAACACCGTAAAATGTATCAAAATGTGTAGTATTATGTAATAACTGAATATGATCCTCAACAATTTCTAAATTACCCTTTCATACTATTTTATGCGTATATTTCAGAAAAAATAATTCTCCTTCATTATCAAAAAAAAAATTTTAAATTATAAAAATAATTAAAGACATGATAAATCTGTGCATATTTTTTTTTTTTTTTTTTAAAGCAAACTAAAAAAATTTATGTATAAACAACTTAAAAGTTTTTTTCTATAATTTGAATATAAAATTATAAAAAAAGAAACATTTAAAGGTGTATTTTTTTTAAAAGAAAATAGTATTTATTTAAAAAAAATAATTTTAGAATTTAAAATCATTAAAAAATTTACTAATACCCCCCTAAAAATATATATATATACACCATGCAGAGCCCATGTCCAAGAGTTCGTGGGTTATATACCTGCTGGCCAAAGGGTCAATCAAACAATTGGGTCCGGCATTCAACGACGGTTATACAGTCAAACCCCGCTATAGTGAACCTTCAAGGGACCGAAATTTCGGTTCACTATAACCGGGAGTTCACTATATCCGTTACGCACTAATGGTTCCCAAACTCCTCCTTTTATTACATTATATTCATATAAATGACTGAAAAATATTACATAGTAGCAAAAATTTTTTTATTTTTCATCACTCTTCATCTTGCGAACAAATAAAAATCTGTAATCTTTAGCTGATGAGCAGTCCTCAACATTAGATATGGAAACACTTCCCGACTCTCAGATAATATTTCCTGAATTTCTGTTATTCCGTTTTTTAAACCTGTCTAACCTGTCATTCGAGCACATAAAAGTAGTTTCTACAGATGGTTTTAAAAATCGGTATATGTATTTATTTTGAAGTAGAAATTTTAAAATTATTACAAAGAAAATGGGGGGGGGGATCAGTCGAAGACAGAAAAAAGTTTATTATATCCAATTTCCTCACTTTTTTGGTTCACTATATCCACTAAAAATAACATTATACGTGTATAGCAAGGTACGGGACGCGACTTTACACATTGTCGACTCCCGGGCACCTCCACTCGCAGCGGTTTTATTTGTCAACTGTTTCACCGCCTTATCTAGTAACCCTCACTCAGAGGCAACCCTACGCTCGCCGCAATACAGCACTCGCAAAAGTCATAAACGAATCTTCGCGCTCATGGATATTTATGTTGAATTAAGTTAAAATTTTATCCTCTATTAAGACTAGAAAAATTCAAATAACGAGATCAAAATACTTCGTCCTTCTATAAAGAAAAAGTTACATCCACACAATTATTTCAGTTAATTACATACATATTGCGGTTAAAAAAAATTTCAAATAGAAACTATTCTTGCAAATTAAATAAAAATCTGGAGTAATAAAATATTTATATTTTCAGAATAATCAATTTCTTTTGAATATCTTAATTAATAAACAAAGTTTAAAAAAATAATCCCCTATATAAATCATCACATTATTAAGTGTACATATTTTTGAAGATAAAAGTATTAAAAAAAANATAGTGAACCTTCAAGGGACCGAAATTTCGGTTCACTATAACCGGGAGTTCACTATATCCGTTACGCACTAATGGTTCCCAAACTCCTCCTTTTATTACATTATATTCATATAAATGATTGAAAAATATTACATAGTAGCAAAAATTTTTTTATTTTTCATCACTCTTCATCTTGCGAACAAATAAAAATCTGTAATCTTTAGCTGATGAGCAGTCCTCAACATTAGATATGGAAACACTTCCCGACTCTCAGATAATATTTCCTGAATTTCTGTTATTCCGTTTTTTAAACCTGTCTAACCTGTCATTCGAGCACATAAAAGTAGTTTCTACAGATGGTTTTAAAAATCGGTATATGTATTTATTTTGAAGTAGAAATGTTAAAATTATTACAAAGAAAATGGGGGGGTCAGAAATCAGTTGAAGACAGAAAAAAGTTCATTATATCCAATTTCCTCACTTTTTTGGTTCACTATATCCACTAAAAATAACATTATATGTGTATAGCAAGGTACGGGACCGAGCATTTCATTCACTATATCCGGGAGTTCACTATAAGCCGTGTTCACTATAGCGGGGTTTGACTGTATATATAAAAAATTAGAGCTATGAGAGCTATGGTGTCTCAGGGTACACAGTGCCCGCTTTCTAGTGAGGTGAACCGGGTCCAAATTCTAGCTACAACTGATCAATCAGAATTCCGTGCCCGGCTCACACTGACTACAGTAATTAGGTCAAATATCCTCAATGGTAGATGGATACTGAGTTAGAGTCCCCTTTACCGTCAGGCTAATCTTGGGAGGATAACGTGGTTTTCCTCTCCATGTACTGCAAATGAGGGTTAGTTTCTTAAAAAAAGTCCTCCACGGAGGTAAAATTCCTCCCAATACTTAATTCAGGAGTTCCCTTGTCTTCTGGATAGGGTTCAAAATTACAAGGTTATGGAGTAAAACATTAGTAGTTGTAAACCCGAAGTTGGGTCGGAGGTTCAATGATGGTTATGAAATAAAATTAGCCCATGAATCCGCACCCACTTGCACCAACCACAGTGCTGATGAAAAATATCCTCAGTTGTAGATCACGGACTAGAGTCCCCTTGTTGACAATCTATCATGGGAAATTTTAGTGATTTTCCTCTCCGTGTAACGCAAATGCGGATTAGTTCCATCAAAAAGTACTTCACATAGGCAAATTTCTCCCAATACTTGTTCCAGGAGTTGGCTTGTCTTCCAGATTGGGTTAAAAATTACAAGGCTACGAAATTGAACATTAGTAGTCGCAAACCCAAAAATTGAGTGGTTGTTCAACGATGGTTATAAAATGACAATTATTAAATGATGAGCTATTTCTTTATTGTTACTTATTTATAATTTATTTTTATTTTAATATAATATATCACCAAGCTTAAGTTAAATTCCCATGCTAAAGGATTATTAACCGCATGACTAGGGTAGTTTAAAAAAAAGTGCAGATAATCCAATATAATGCATAACGAACTCTGGGAATATATAAATAACAGACTAGTGAATGAATCTAAATTTACATAATATGAAATTACAAATATAAAATTATATAATTGAAACATATCAGGAATACTACACTTTCTTAAGTTTAAGAGCGTTTTGCAATATTTTTGAAAACAAAATATCAAACAAACAGCATCATTAAAAAAAAAAAAACTACTGTGAACTTAAATGGCTAGATAAGGCTTAGTCATTACTTTATGTATACAGTGGGAAAATAAATCACTTCATAAGCAGAATAATTTTAAAGCTCTGTAAAATTTTTAATTACCTAACCTAGAAATGTAGCAAAATGTGAAAAAATTGCTCATTTTACAAAATAAATGACTAAAATAATTAAACAATCAAATGAGACATAATTTAATATCAATATGACAAAAAAAAAGAAAGAAAATATTCAATAAAATTTAGTTTTTATTTCATTAATTTTTTCAATGAGCACCTATGGAGATTTCCACAAATGAGGGTACCAATGTCATAATTAGTTGTAAAAACAAATGTCCAATCACCCTTCACATCAAGTTTTTCTTTTTTTTTTAATATTTAATTTTGGTATGCAATATGCAGAAAAATGCCATTTTAAATGTAAAAACATAAAGTTGTCCTTTAGACCTCTCAATGAATATTAAATTTGAGTGCTATNGAGAAAGCTATTTAATATTTATCTGCAGACAGTTACGATAGCAAGTATCTCACTTAGATCTCACAATGAATATTAAATTTTAGTGCTATAAATAATATTTGACTTATAGACTATTTTTGTAACAATCCAGTCTGGAAACTTTTCATTTTATTTAACAAACCCATACAATATAGTGACACAATGCAACGAACATCATAAAAATCAAAATGCATATGAGATCGAAATACCAGGTTGAGTAAAAAGTTTACCGCCAAGGGGAGATACCTCCATGCCAACAGCAGCCATATCCCCCATGGTAGTTAACCTTTCTCCAAATGGGTTTTTGCATTCTAAAGATGAAAGTTAGAACTACACAACTGTGTAATTTGTTTGTCAAAACTTTATGATCCAGTGCACCAAAGAAGTGTTTAAAATGGACCTATCATGTAAACATATCAGAACAATTATGCACTTACTATGAGTTCCGAAATAAACTCAGCGCAACTGAATGCCACAAAAAATTTGTGAAAGTTTAGGTTTCAATACTTGTTTCTTATGATAAAGTAAAAGTTTGGTTTCGAAAGATTTAAAGATGTGAATCTTGACATTGAAGATGAACCATGTTCGGGCAGCCCTATTGAGGTTGATTTAGACCAGTTAAAGCAGTGTTCTCCCTAAGCATTTTTCAAAGGGCGGCCCGCCCTGCCTGCCCCTTTCCCGAACTGATGCGCCCCTNAAAGCAAATCATTGATCAAGACAGAAATGTTTCAACACAAACTATTGCGTTAGAGCCTGACGTTTGCCAAAATCCAATAGTTAATGCTCTCAAACGCATAAATCTAACACTTAAGTTTAACTGCTGGGTGCCTAACGAATTGACCGCTGAACACAAGAGAAAAGCAGCCGGTTAGGCTCCGTGAAGAGATTAAAGAAAAGAGAACATTCTACACAGAATCGTGACCTGGGATGAGAAATGGGTGTACTACAGCAATACAAGCTGTAAAGGAGGGTGTTCAACACCCGGGGAATGAGTAGGTTCGGTTGCAAGACGAACGCTAACTAACAAGAAGGTGCTTCTCTGACTCTGGTAAGTTTATCGTGGAATTATCTATAAGGAGTATCTGAAAAGCGGGCAGGCTATCAAAAGTACAATATTCAGTAATAAGCTAATCAAAGTTAGTGATGCCATTCAAGAAAAACGAGTTCAGAAGGAAGGTAGCTCTCTTTCATCAAGATAATACCCGACCACATGTTAGTGTGAAGACCGACTGGATGTTCTACATGCTGAAGTGGGATTTGATGCAACATCCACCATACAGACCACACATGGCGCCTTTGGATTACTATCTGATTTCACATCTGCATCTCGATGGCCCAATCTTCCATTCCAATGATGAGGTCATAAATAAAGTCGATTGCTTTCCGGACCCACGCACGCCACCATTCTTCGCAGAAGGGATTGAAAAGTTGATAAAACGCTGGCAGACCATTGTTGATTTGAATGGAGATTACTATCCTCATTAGCTTTGCTGATTTTGTAAGTACAGTGACCTCTCACTTATGCACCACCTCTTTTATGCACCTTTTCATTTATATGACGATTTTTATAGGTCCCAGTACATTAGATAGGAAAATAATGATAAACATCCTTCGTTTATGCGTCGCTCTAAAAGTCAATTTTTCAATTATGCGCCGAAATAAGCAATCCTTGCTACAGATGAAAAGAAATATATGTTGTTAGATCCTATTGAATTTGCTTCCCCCTGTGACCTTTTCACTTTTGCTGTTTCTGGAAAGACATTCCTTCTAGAATTTTGAATAGGGTGTCTTATCTGTTACACCAGCGATTCTTAACCTATGGGTCGCGACCCAAAATTGGGTCGCGAAGCATATTTCTTGGGTTGCGCTGAGTCGAACCAAAAAAGTTAGTAATTTTTTCAAATAATAAGTAATACCAACACCTCCTAGAAGAAGTCATTGTGACTTACTCAGCCTAATTTTGACTTTTTTTTGGGTCGTGACATGAGCAGATTTCTCAAATATGGGTCGCGGCTAAAAAAGGTTAAGAACCACTGTGTTACACCAACAACAATGAAAGCCCACTCATCTTTTAGAAAATGACCATTCCTCTTGTCTAGAGATTAGTTTTACTCCCATGCTGTTTTCTAGCGAAAAAAAAAGACACCTGGAATACGAAAGATGAAAGAGACCGCGATCACTTACTTGCAGTCAGATGGACATTATAAGTAAATAAAAGGATGTGATCGGTTTAGTGACATTAGTAATCGAACAACTTATTGTGCAGCATATTATGACGTCAAGTACTTTTCTTAGAAATTTATCATGTGATGTTTCACCCCCTCCCATAAAACTCAAAATTTTTGTGAAGAAGTGTTCATTTATATCTAACTAAAACTTGTGGACGATGAGAACGTGGTGGATGATACTGACGAGGATGATAAAGTTCCTCCAAATCACACAACAGTATTGGAAGCTTTAGACACTATTCGTGACTATTCAAAATTTAATTTTGCTTTCTGAAACTCCCCCTTATCCCATTTATATGAACTGGAGGAAACTGTTTTTGAAATATGTCGGCAAAAACAAATACAAACATGTATTAAGATTATTTTGTAAGGAAATAAATTGTCTTAAGGTATTTTAAATTTTTTCTTTGTATAATTATAGTACTAAATACCAAAACAGTATAAATATTAGCATTTAATCTTTAGAAACATATTTATTCATATTGTCACTGCAATTTACGTTGCGCTTTAGAATTTTGAAGTTTTTCACTTATGCGCCTTTTTCTCTGGGCTCCTTACACCGGTGCATAAGTGAGAGTTCACTGTATTTAACATTTTACAAGATTGTATTTTTTGGCAGAAAACTTTAGACATATATATATAAAAGCATGTTAAAAATTTTATTTTGGAAAATTTTTGCTATTTGCAAATAAAATAAATGGCAACTAAATAAACTTCTTCTGCTTATAACTTCTCTGCTTCTGAAAATAAACTTATCTCTAAGGAATATAAGTAATTACTTTTTTATTAAATTTGACTTTAAAAAATGCTACATTACTAACCAAATAATTGATATACTTTGCCGTCAATAAAATTTAAAAGAATAGAATATGTGAAAATGATTTGCTCCACCCCCAAAAGTAATTTGAGTTTTTAAATAATTCTAGTACGTAATGAACTAACTAGATGCTGAATATTCAGCATTTAGACAAATCACTATTCAACGACAACCATACCTAGAATAGACACATAAATAATCGTAAAATCATTACTTATAATAAAAAAACTTATGCAAGACAATAAGTTTTAAAAAAATTCATTCACACTAAGCAACAGCATCCATAAATACATTTTCATCAAGAAACATTCATGCAAGTTTAGTATTCTAAAAAATTTCAGTTTCATTCTTCACTAAATTCATATCATCCATTACTTTCATTCTAATAGCTCATTCATGGAATATAAATACACCATTTCTTACTTATCAGTTATTCTTTGGTAAACAATCAATAGGCTAGTTGATTTCATCAGGAAAGGCTTCAATCTCCAATATCTTAAAGATCCAAAGTAAAGACAGTTCTTATAGGAGGCCCAAACTGCACAAAGAACACAGAAAATAATTTTCAATCTCTCATCACATGCATCGTTAATCAAAAAGACCAAACATTTTGGGAATCTTCTTAAACTGCTTTTCAAGAACTTAAACTATTAAGCACAGTTTTAACAGGAGAACAGAATCTTCAGTAGCAATCAAGTTCAGTAGTAATCCAAAACTTCTCGAATTGATAATTTTTTGTGGGAAAAAAAACAAACTTTTTTTTATCTAGTTTTTTTTTCTATTATTAAAGATTTTCTATTATACAGGGTTGCCACTCAAATCTGGAAAAAAATTCCCTGTGTTTTCCCTTTACATATTATACACAATATATTAAGAGGAAACAACAATTACTGTGCTCTTGTGTGAGCTATATTGGTATAACTATATTTATTAGTTTTAATTGCTGAAAAAACAACTGAACATACTTAAATAATGCTATAGAATAGCATTATTTAAGTAATAAATGGAATAGTTAAAAATAGCTGAAATATCATGGTTAAGTATACCATAAATTACGCTTTGAATGGTCACCATTTTTTAGAAAGACAAAAATAAGAAATAAAATTCCCTGTATTTTCCTAGTTTGTAAAGAAAAATCAAAATTCACTGCTTTTTCCCTGTTATTTTAGGTGATTTTTAAATTCTCTGTATCTTCCAGGTTTTCCCCGTGGAGTGGCAACCTTGATTAACTATGAATTAAAGAATGAATAAATCTTAAACAGCTAAAAATTAGATATTCAGATTTACTCTTTAAACTTTACAATAATAATAATACCAAGTACTGTGTTTCCATCCAACACTGTAATAGATGGTAACAGGAAAATATATACATAAATTAAATATTAATATCTATTTTTCGAGCCTGAGAAAGCTATGACTCTTTTTCCTCAAAGAAAACTATAAAATGGGCTCTTTCTAATGAACTACATGAGCATTTTAAGTTTCAGTTAAAACCACAGAAGGTGACTGCAAAAATACATGCCTTCTTTAAAACAAAGAGGAACATAAAAAAATTTCTCAATAAAAAAAAAATTACACCTAACACTTTACTCACTACTGTTCTATAATGTTGAGTGATGCTTAAGATCAACATACATTTAAGATGACATACATACCTTTGCAATCATGAGATATGGGTGTGTAAAAATCATGCGTAATCAAATCATACTTTCAAAGTGAAACAAAATGGCTTTATAAGAAACGATATAAAATAGCTATTTAAGAATTTTAACTTTTTTGGATTAAATTTATTTTATGGTGTAGGATTATGTATGTCAATTAAAATAAAATCACTTAAGGAAAACAGTTAAATAGTTTATATCTCTTTAAAGAAGTAAAATACCAGTAAAACATCAATGAAACACAAAAAAAGCTAATACAGAATGCTACAAGGATCTTGTATAAACTCAGCTCAAAATAAGCAATTTTAAGGACATTTCTTTTATTGGAGCCATATTAAAAAAATTACTAAAATATAGATGTCAGTGATACTAGAATAATTTTAGTAATAGGTGCCTAATATACTGTAAACACGGAAATAAGTCGTAAGCGGAAATAGGTGGTATTACCCAAAAACAAGACTTAATTAAACATATTGCCTTTAGAGTTTAGTTAAAATGGTAAAATTATACAATGCAAAAACAAATGTTGCAGAAAAAATTCCCAAAAATGCGATCAATACTGGCAGTTTTCATTACAATATCCTAGAGATTGATATCAACAATGCAATACATTAAAAAGATAAATCCCAAAATATTATACATATACAACAATTGTAATGCACTAAGTTATTGTAAGTGCTGAAAAATTTTATATCAGTTACAGATAAAATTTGATAAATTTTAAATTTATTCAGTTATTGAGTTGTTATGCACATGGTCTTAACCACTGATGAATACCAAATCAAATGATCAATGAAAAAATATTCACCGTTCAAAAAAAAAATTTCATTTTCTAAGGAAAATTAATAGATTCTAAAGAAAAATAGCATGAAGCACTGATGAAAAATAGTACTTCTCAAAACTTTTACAAATCGCAGGTTAAAATATGTATTAGAGATGCTAACTGAAATAGTAATATCAGTCAAGATGTTCAGATCAATCAAGAAAGTATTTATTAACAGAAGTATAAAAAATATATAAAATCTTATAATTTATTAACAACAATAAATTAAATGGTCATTCTTTATTTTTATATAAGACCAAGGGATATTCAATTAACAGCATATAGTCGTACCAACAGCAATCGTCCAAGTAGAACTGCATACAAATTAAATATATTGTAGCTTTTAAGAAGACTGCTGGGCATTTTAAACTTTTCTAAATTGACAGGTATTTTCATACTTCTCAAAAATTTATTTTTATTATGGTTTTCTCGATAGTAAAACAAGGAAAAAAAAATGCAGCAAAATTAGAAATAAACCTTTCATTGAAAACAAATAAGACAAATCTAGGAAATGAACAAAGATAGATTGCAAAATCCATATTTAAAATTCGAGATATTTATCTATACCGAAAACAAACATAAAGCAGCTTTGGTTTTTTTCTAACGAGGAGTAAACAAAAATTTCATACAGTTTTTAACTAATTGTCTTCTTACCCAAATAAATCTCTTTACTTTTATTACTTAACTGATAGAAGTACACATATCTAATTTATAACTATATTTAAAATAAATACTAACAAAACTATTTGAAACCACGAGCATTTAATGAAAAAATTACACGATATTTAACTATTTATATCAGAAAAATATCAAAAGGGTATATCTTATTTTACTTATGAAAATGTAATAAAAATAAAAACCTAACACGAACTGGTTTAAGTGGTTTTTAGCAATAGTAACAGAATAAAAGAACTTGCAAAAGTAAAACGCAATAAACTGCATACATGCTTACCTCTTGCCTTTTCTCTTTCGTTGTACCATCTTTAAGAATTAAAAACGTTTCGACGGACTCACTGGGAAAAACTCGAACAAGGTAGAAATATTTACGGGTCAATATTCTATCGACTGAATAATCTTAAACTGAACTACTTGAAAGTGTGCCAAGTTCAAGTTCCCAGAAAAAAATCCTTTAGCTCCACCTACCGCTACTGTATTTCCTCCAATCAAATGTCGTCATGCAGGAATATCATTGCGACCATGTGGCTATAACTTTTAGATTAAAAAATAATTTGTTAAGAATTATCCATAAAACAAAAATTATTTTGTTTTCATGGATAAGATAATTATCCAGAAATTTTTGAATTGTTTTAATCAATATACATCTTTAGCACACAACGCTCATTTTTGAGATCAGTATTTTTTAAAATTTCTTTTGGCAACTTTTGATAATACTATTTGTAAACAGTAGTATCAACAGTAGTAGCAAAATGAAACGCAGAGCTATAAGCGATAAGCAGAGAGCTCGCAGCACTTAACTATACTCAATAGTAGCAAATTTTTAGCACCATATCCAAACCAGCGATTGAAAACGTTTTAATTAATATTAATGGATATAATTAAAGCTGAAATTGAGAGGAAAAAAAGATTTCTAGAAGAGAAAAATCTTGTGGTATTTTTCCTCTTCATTTAAATTACATTCATTAATTGCTGGCCTTTTCACCTTCACTTACTAAAACCCCATGATTAATGTACTAGTTAAAAATAACGAGAAAAAAAATATTTTTAAATTAATAGATTAGTTTAAATGGTCAGGAACTGTATGTTTTCCAAATATTAGTAAAAGAAGCTACTTTCAATTCAAATTCATTATGTTATATGCATTTAAACCTCTACGTATTTTTTTAAAAAAATATTTGCTCGTATTAGAACCCTTTGGTGCCGTGACGATAATAGTTGTATGTGATTAAGTATCGATTTTGAAAAGTCCTCCTTAAAAAATATAAATAATACCCAATTATAAAAATTCTACAGTTGGAAATTCATTCAAATTTACTTATACAAAATACGGGTATTCAATTGTTCTGAAACTCCTTGAAGTCGTTAGTGATTTCAAATTATGATATTTTATTTAACATTTAAATTTCGTTCAACTTAGCTGGTATTTGTGAAAAAATGTTCTTAAATTTTTATTATTTTCCTCTAGTGGTGGTAATCTTAAGCCCGTTTTCAGAACCTTTGGCAACTTCCAGGCAGCAGACTGCAAGAAACAGAAAGAAAAACATCTCAGAAAAGAACTAACTCATATCCTCCCCAAATAAACTTCTTTTCTTTCTTTTAAATTTCTGCATGTGCACCAGGACAGCTAAAAAAATTCTTGATTAGGACTAAAAGAATTTGTTAAGTTTTCTTTGAAACATAAAGAACTTTCATAGAAATTAATATATATATATATTTATATTTTTCCTGTTTTGAACATGATAGAAGGGGTAGTTCAGAAATTTTTTCATGTGATTTAGTTGTAAATATTACTAATTTTGGTCTATATTTTACTGTGTAAATATTTCATCATATTTTCTACCAAAATGGGCAATGTTCCTGTCAAGAATAGTTATCAAAAATCAGATTTCTGAGAAACTTTAACCTTAGATGTTTCTGGTCTTACCTGAAATTGTTGTTAGAATACTAAATACTCAATTTTCTGCTCTTATATTTTAATTATCTAATCATTGATTTGTTTAAAAAGATTTTGTGATAGTATAAAAATTGTGTAAAGTATAGTATCTAAAGTTGAATAATTATTGCTTTATCTACTGAAAATTTAGATTAGAGTTATGTAATTTTATCATCAAATTAAACTATTAATTTGAAATAAAAATCAAATTTATAAACATTTTTGCAATGCAACACAACTGCTTGAAAAGTAATGAAAATAAGGAAATACCTGACTTGTAACTTTTTCATTGTTTAAAATTTTCAGAGTTGGCAAAGTTTAGGACAGAATGAATTAATCCATGGTTTAAACCAGAGTTTCATCCATCTTGTCCAAAACTGTCTAAAACCCTTTTACTCAAATTATGTCTTAATTAAAAAAAAATATTGTGAAAAATGAAAGGTTAATTTTTGAACAAGAAACAAAATGAAGACAATTTTTTTAATTGAAGAAGTTTATTATTATTTTTAATATTGCATTATTTATCCTTATGCGAAACATAATTTATCAGCATTAAAAGCATATAAATATATTCATATTTAAGGGATAAAGTATTAATTTTTGCTGTTCAATGAATTGTGGAGCTTCAAAAGTTATAAATCTTTTCCTGTTTTGTTTTAGTAAGTTTAAGCAAATTGTACAAAAAAAATCAAATATTTATTAATATATGTAATTATATGTTACACATATAGAATTTTTACCTTTTTCCAAAGTTCAAGTTTTTGGACAGTTATAGTTAGTTTAGGGCAGTTTTAGTCAGTGTAGGACAATTTAAGATGGTTTAGGACATTAAAACCCAGGTGACCTGTCCAAAACCAGTTTAGTGCATCCAAAACCCCAACCCTTAATTTTACTATTTTGTTTGTTTCAAAAAGTGAATATTGATGTTACAGACTTCTGGGAAAAAATATTTCAAGAGAGGAGATTTAATCAAGCAAGTTGAAGAAGATTACTGGAAAAAACACTATCCCCAACAAGAAGATAATGAAATTAGTGAGGTATTATTTTAAGTAGAAAAAGAATATCAAAATATTCAAACGATGTTTTTATTATTTTATATTGATTTTGATCTTTAAACATTTCATTTTGCAGAATGAGAAGAAGCAAGCTGCTGAAAGCTCAAAGTCTAAAGAATCAGAAAATGCACTGCCTCGCAAAGAAGTATATATTTATAATTCTGAATGGTTTACATGGTTTTTAAAGAGCAAAATAAAGCATTTTTTTTCTTTTAATATAGCTGAAAAATAAATTTTATTCAAAATTCAGTTTTTTAATTACATTAAATTTGTAGCTAAACATTTTAAGAATTTTTTTGGCAAAGTTCTGTATTGCAGGTTTCTTAGTATAAGTAACCTTTTACTGAGTTTTTAATGAAAATTTAGGTCTCAATCTTATTGTAATTTTACGTGCATCGAAGTAGAAACGACTGGATTTGAATAAAGTTTTTTAAAAAATCTAAATTTGAAATTCTTGCAGAGAAAATATCATTTTTGTTAAAACTAAGACCACATATATTGCCTTGAAGAATAAATTGTGGCAAAAGAAAAAAGGTACTTTGGTATTATCCTGCGGCCTACGCTGGTGAAAATATGCAAATCCTTAGGCGCCACCATAATGAAAAGCAATTTCTAAAATAAACATTCTAAACACATTAAATTTTTCAAGCAATAATAAAGTAATAGTAACAAAAAAATTTAAGTGTAAAAATACATAATAAAAAATATAAAAATAATCAAAACAAAGTAAAAACTTTTATTATTTTTTTTTTTTTATAATATAGTTCACATGTTCAAGGCTAACATAGTAAATAGGATAAAATTTGCGATTATTGGTGCGAAAGCTACCTTTTGGCGATATTATTGGGTTAGGCGAAAGTACCAGAAAACAAATCCATTGTTTAATGTCTAGTCAATTTTATTAAGAAGAAATGTTTTCATTTCAATGAAATTATTGCAGGAGCTTTGGGAAAATTGTGTAAACGAGCTTCAAAAATAAGTTTATAGAATTTTTTTTTTTTTATAGCATGAGCTTTAAATGTACTCTTTCCTAGAGTTTCATTCTATTTTACTTAAATTAGAGAATATATGAAATATTGTACAATTAGTTAAAAGATGTAATGATTTTTTTTAAATATTTTATAGTTACGTGACCCTTTAAGTTTATAAAAATAGCTGTTTTCTAAGTTTGTATTTTATCAGATTTACTATGAAATATTTTTAAAAAATGATAACTAAAGAAATATTGTAGTGATGAAATGTAACTTACTTCTCTATGCTTGTTTAGGTTGTCAGGAGATTGAGAGAAAGACAAGAACCTATAATTTTATATGGTGAAACAGAATTTGAAGCTTTTCAAAGGTTAAGAAGGTTAGAAATCCTAGAACCTGAAGTTGATCGTGGCTTCAGAAATGATTTTCAAGAGGCTATGGAAAAAGTTGACCAGGCTTATCTAGATGAGTTAATGAAAACTCAAGGCAGTGTCGAAGATGGAAAATCTGTGAATGATGTAAAAGTAGAGGAGGAGAGCACATCTATGGAAGAAATAAAAGTAAAAAATATTTTCGTAGTCACAAAATAAGCTTTCAGTTATTTACATACAGTAGAACTTTGATTAACCTATGCCTTCGGGACAAGAGGTTTGTTGAAAAATCGAAATTGTCAGATAATTGGTGAGTCATTTTAAGTTAATGTTTTAATTTAAGCATTAAAGTACTCAAAATAAATAGTAGCTATAATAAAGTTTTTTTTAAGCTTTTTTTAGAAGTTTTTTTTTATGAAAGTAGGCTTTATATATAAAAAAAAAGATTTATTTCCTGTGAAGTTCAAAGCAAAGCGTAAAATGACTTTTAACTAATTACTTTAAAATTTCCAAACTATTATTACATTATGTTAACGATGAATAAAAAAAAATGTCAAAATAATTTGTCAAAAAATCAAAAAGCATAGTATAAATTTCAAAAAGTGAAGAAAAAATCATCTCAAACCTCTAAGTGTAAATATATTATTGTGTAGAACGGTAAACAAAGTATTATTTTCACTATTAAAATATGTTAGCAACATTTTCCTTTATAAATTATTGAATTAATAACTGCTTTGTTAATATATAATTTATGCAGAGTTAAATATGTATTATTTTTGATATAAAATAAAATTATTTTAAGTGTACTCAATATTTTAAAAAAAAGTACTCTTTGTAAGTTTTTACACAAAGGTACCCTAGAAGTTTTTAACACTCACCTGGGGGGGAGGTGATAGCACCTATGTTGGGAACCTAGGCACTAAACAATGATCTAAATCACATTTCTGAGGAGATATAAAGAATAAAATTCAATTTTTAGAGATGTTGACTTTTTTTTCTGAATATTTTCTGTTAACTCTGACTAAAAAAAGAAGTACAAGTTTTTTTTACCCATTATATTTATAAACATGTGTAAGACATCTTTTTTGAAAAATCTAAATTGAATTTTGGTGTATTAAATTATCTAAAATTTTAGAACATTCTTGCAATCTCAAAATTTTTTATTGTGTGTTTCAGACTGAAGCTAAAGAGAAGCTTGGGAAAGGAAATGACAGTGATGATGCTAAAGTCATCTTAAAATTTTTGCGGGTAAGAAACTCCTTAAAATAATTTAATTTTAAGTTGGATTGTTTAAATTAGTTACATAAAATCTATTAGCTTTCATTTTTAACTTTAAAAATTCTCTGTTCTAATAGTGTTTTGAATTGTTTCTGATTTTCATTGTTATCATTGAGACATTAATTGCTATTTCTGAACAAGTACATTAGCTTTCAGAAGTTTCAGCCTCCTAATAAAGTTCTCATGTACTTTTTTATTATTTAAAAACTAAACAAATATGATCTGTAACCATTATTTAGACAAATTATTTCCATCATTTTCACAAATAATCATAACATCATTTAGGAAAAATTTGGGTCGAGTGATAAACTGTTCACAAATTATAGTATCTTATGCATATGCTCACAATCCTTTTCATTTTAAAAATGGATCTTTCATAAAATTCTTACCTCTAAAAATTAAATCGATAACATCATAAATGCACAATTTTAAATTGCATTACTTTAAAATAGTTTTTTTTTTCCAAAAATATTCCAACAACATTTTGATCTGGTTTTTCAGATTTTCTAGATCGCTAAAGAATATCAATTATAAATCATCAACAAAAACCATTTTTATATTAAATAATTATACTTTTTTAAAAAAGAAAAATAGTAACTAAACACATTTCATAAGACTTTTGTTAAAAGACTATACATATGTATAGTTGTGGAGTAGTTAATTCAACTCTTGACAGATAAAAGATTAGTACAAATATGATGGAGCAGAACAATCCTCGAATGTACATTAGATTTGCACCTACGAAAAAAGAATTAAAAATGAAAAAATATTAATCCAACTATCACAAACAAACAAAAAAGAAAGATCAGTTTAAGTATTATCAATCAGGTATTCCCCCTATTTCGGAAAAATCTAAGGGAATATATACTACATCTTACATGACCAATTCATAAATTAAATTCCACAGCGTACTCATTGCATTTTCGAAATGAATATACTTCAGGATTATACAGTGGCTGTAATGTTTAAAATGACAACATAGTTTTTAACTTAACTCCGTGGTGAACAGCCCATGGGCTCACAAGGCCTACTGTGTCCATCCCAGTTATCTTACCTTAGATGCAGGAGCTGATATACAAGTTGGGTGGTCAGCCCCCAGTGTTTTGACCTGCCAATCTTTAATACAATCTAGACCCCAAACCTGTCGATCTTTTACAAAACTGTTACAAATATTATGCTTTTTGCTGTCACCATTTTTTAACACCCTTCATATTAATTTATGTTTTATTGCTGCTTTTGGTCTGTTTTCAATGTTTTGTTTTATTTTTTAAAATTAGCTGTAATAAAAAATTTACTTTTCTGTTTTAGTTTTTAATGCAAGTGTGGGGTCAAAAACTAAATTCTCGTTCAGAGAGTGAAAAGACAGGTATGAAGGGGAAAATGGCATCAGCCACCTACACTCAAACTCAAGACTATATAAGGCCTCTATTTCGACGCCTGAAGAAAGAAACTTGTCCTGAAGACATTTTAGAACATCTGATTTTAATTGTTAAATATATGCTGGACCTGAATTATGTAGAAGTAAATATGCTCACTGAGTTATATTCTAATTCTTTAAGTTTTGCGAAATTCTTACATTCTTTATCTGATTGGTTGGTCTTCACTGTTTAATTTACATGCAAAATTTAGTTAATTATGTACATATAAATTTTCAAACTTGCATGAATGTACAAGATGATTCTAAAAGAATTTATCAACTGATGGTTCCATTCTAAGCATAATAATCAGGGTAACATAATAAAATTTTGTTTATAAATATGATGTGTTATAGTCTCCAGAATAGTTCTTAAAGCAATTATCCTACTTTTATTATTACAGGTTATAATGACGCAATTTTAAAATGAAAGCATTTTTTTTTTATCAAATGGTGATTTTCATAGTAAACAAATTTAATTCATAGTAAACAAATTTAAATAGAGTTGGATTGTTTGTGGCATGTAAAATGGCAGATCTATGTGAAAGAAAAAATGCTAAGTTGAATTACAACTCCTATTTTTTATTTCCTTTTTTAATGTTTTATAACTAATATTTTATTAATTAAATGATTTATTAATTTCCATTGATGGAACATTAATATTTTTAGAAATGAATAGTTTATTATGAATAATTAAACGTTTTTTTTTTCTAGTTTTAAATAGATGTGTGGTTTTAATCCAAGAATAGATGTCACAATCATATTTCTTGTGTAAGTTTTCATTATCAAAAATGACCATAAGTCAGTTTTAAAGTGTCTTTTTCTAATGAAAGTTTGATGGAAAAAAATAATTAAAGAAATGGTGAGAGAAGGTTTCCAAATCCGATGAGAATTTTTTACTTTGAAGAAGTAATCTGCATTGTAATTTGAAAAATAATGTAAGTGCTTCACGATAAATTTCGATAAAAATGGCTTGATTACTATTTTCTTTCTATTACTAATGTTATGAACACTAAAACAGAATTTGAAAAAACTGTTGAAAGAAATTTATTTTTTTTAAAAATTTTGTAATGTGTTTATTATACAAAAATGCCAAATATATAAAAATCTCAATGTTGAACTTTTTGTCCCTTATGTTAATTTTTTATTGCACTGTAATAATCGCCTACTTTATATGTTTCGTGTTCTCACCAACATAATAACCGGAAAATGCTACACACAACTTGAGTTGAAATATTCATTTAAATTNATGATATAGGTGTGTGGTTTTAATTCATGAATAGATGGCACAATCATCTTTCTTGTGCAAGTTTTCATTATCAAAATTGACAAGAAGTCAGTTTTAAAGTGTCTTTTTCTAATGAAAGTTTGATGGAAAAAAATAATTAAAGAAATGGTGAGAGAAGGTTTCCAAATCCGATGAGAATTTTTTACTTTGAAGAAGTAATCTGCATTGTAATTTGAAAAATAATGTAAGTGCTTCACGATAAATTTCGATAAAAATGGCTTGATTACTATTTTCTTTCTATTACTAATGTTATGAACACTAAAACAGAATTTGAAAAAACTGTTGAAAGAAATTTATTTTTTTTAAAAATTTTGTAATGTGTTTATTATACAAAAATGCCAAATATATAAAAATCTCAATGTTGAACTTTTTGTCCCTTATGTTAATTTTTTATTGCACTGTAATAATCGCCTACTTTATATGTTTCGTGTTCTCACCAACATAATAACCGGAAAATGCTACACACAACTTGAGTTGAAATATTCATTTAAATTTATTGTGTAGAGGACAGTTTTTCTACCTGAGTTACAAAATGAACACTTTAACCATAAATAATATTCAAGAATATTTTTTATAATGAATTACATTGCAATGTTGAAGATTTCCCCCATAAAAAACGAAAATGTGCTCTTAAAATTATTTAAGTGACCCGCATACTTCTATGAACAGATTTAATATATTTCAATTTATTCGAAATAACTTGATGTTCAAAAAAAATTCTTTTTCAATGAACCTTAAATTAATCAAATAATAGCATTGCGTTTTTTATTTTATTTTAGGATTTCATTTATTATTAGCAAAAATGGATTTCAATTGTTTTCTTAAATGATCAGTTATTAAATGCAGTAGTCAAATTCTTTTAGTTGGTTAAAATTTAAATGATTTAATTTGATTTCTAAGTTACTATACAGTGTTTTTATGGGAAAGGTAGTTAATGTTTACTGTATACTTAAGCACATTTCTATACAATGTGATTTGAACTCAGAAAGTATTGAAACAATAAATAGTGAATCACCCTTAGTTCTTTTTCAAACAACAATATACTATTTCATGATGTAGAATAATAAAAAACTGAAAAATAAAGAAGTATGATTTAAGAAATGTGTATATTTTGTATTAGTTTAATAAGTTATGAGAAATTATAATTTTGAAATTGCGAATAGCATTTAACTCTATGCTTTTTGATGGATTGAAAAACTTTCGACTTTAGTCATTTTCACTTCTTATTTCATATATCAATCAGACAAAGTAAAATGAATGGGTAAAAGAATAAGTTAGAAAGAAAAAATAGCCTAAGATTTTGTTTGAAAAACTTAAAATTTAGATATGTAATTTAAAATGTAAGTAAACTTATAAATTTGAAATATAATTTAAAATTTTGCTTTATGTTATGATTGTTGTAAGGGTAATTTTTTACTTCTAGGCAAATGCTGCATACTTGCAGATGGCAATTGGTAATGCCCCATGGCCTATTGGTGTGACTATGGTGGGTATCCACGCAAGAACTGGTCGAGAAAAGATTTTTTCAAGAAATATTGCCCGTATCCTTCCTTAATGCTTTATTTTCATTTCAAAGTATTTGTGACAAATTAGCTCGTGCCATACAATTTTTCTTTTAATCTATCCAATTTAGTTCATTTTATTAAGATCTATTACTGATAACGAAGCTATTATTATTTTCATTTGCATAATTATTTATTTTTAGCAACAAAATTTTAGATGAATCAATGAATTGATTTTTCAAAGTCATAATTTTGTTCATAATTCAATGTTTCATTTTCGCTATGTCATTAAATATTAAATAGTTCAAGAATTATAGCTTTTAGACAAATTTCTTATTAGTTTGTATTATTTCTTATAAAATTAATAAAGTTATGCCTGAGCGTACATTATGTTAATTATTTCTTTAAACAAGTAATGCATAGATCCTTAATAAATGTTAGAATAAATATTTTAAGGGAATAATTGTCAGGTATTTTTCATTTTTTTTTTTTTTAAATTGGTTCTCTTAAATTTTTATTTGCTTTTTTTATTAGGCTAGGCACAGTAAAAACCTTTTTTTTTTAATTCAGTGAATAGAAATTGTCATATTTATAATATTTTCTCAGTTATATCCCTTCCAAATTAAAATTTACTTTGTAATAACCAATGTCAATGCTTCAAAATGTCAGATATTAAATTTTTGAAATTATGGAGGTAAAGTGTTGAATGAAATACTTTCATGTCCATGACATGGCATTAGTTTGATGAAAGCAGTTTTTTGCCCAATTTTTGGCTGTCTCTAGTATTAGTCAAGTGCACAATATTTGACTAATATTGACCTTTGTTTTGGGATTACATGAGCCACATGAATACAAAAAGCAGGCTTGCATATTTCTTCTTTTTAAAGTAATTGCACACGTTGACTAGGTAAAAATTTTAATTGTTAAGCAAAAATAGTTTAATTTAAATGCTTTAAAGCATAAATTGTGCAGAAATATTTCCTTAAATATTTAGATGTGATTTTTGCATGAGGCCTTTTTCACAAAGTTTTGCTAGGAAGGTTTTTACAAACTTGTGCAAAAGTTTAAGGCTAGTAGCCTATATCCGTATTTTTACACATTAAACCGTTTGTACAGATTATTCTAGATTGCACAGTAACCTTTGGTTGCTATTGATAAATGTTCCCATCAAATAAATCACTAACTCTTTGTTAAGTAATCTGTAGACATTGCTATTCTGCAATTATCATATTTATAAGGAACCCTCACTTTACAAAAATAGTGCCTCTGCTTAAAGTTGGCTTATTTAAATGTAAACTAGATAATCTGGGATCATGTAAGCAAGATAGCTCTTTGTCAAGCTATCAGCAATCACATATCTGGAAAAAAATGCATATAAATCCATAGAAAAGCAGTTGCCCAAGAAAAACTATTATATATTAAGATTCATGTTATCTAAAAGATGGTCATATGATCTCCAACAACCCCAATGGCGCAGATTAAACATATGTCTAACTGAAAAAGGAACCAATGTCAGTTGGGAAGACTCATATAAACTTGAAAGGAAATCTCAACTTACTCAGAGCATGAAAAAAAAATGTAGTTAACCTTTAATAAATCTTTCCTCACAGTGGTCTTTTATATTCTTTAAAAATTTTCAAAGCATGCATTTTTTGTATAATTTAAAAAAAAATTTATGTGTCTGTGAAAAATTTAGACAGAATACCTCACATTGTTTCATTATTAGTCAAAGTTGATTCATTACATATATTAGAAAACAATGTTTACTACTTTGGATTTTCCCAAATTTGTATCAGCTTACAAATTATGCAACTTTGTAAGTATTAGATTTTAAAATTATTTGGATCCTTATCTATATTACATGATTCTTGATTCTTCTTTCTTTTTTTTTCTTTCTAATTTGATTTCCTGATTTTGTACTTACCTTAACTAATTTACAGATGTACTCAATGATGAAACTCAAAGAAAATTTATTCAAGTATGAAATAATTTATTATTTTAGTTTAACATAAGTGCAATAATTAAAAGATTTTATTGATATGCTCTTTATAATTTTGCAAAGCTTATAAATGTTTTGCACACTATTCTATGGTATTTCTGATGATTCTCTGATTTAATCTTTCTTAGAATAATAATTTTGAATTTCAAGTCAAAATTTTTATATAAAAATATAAATAAAATTAGTTGAATAAAATGATTTATGGATAAAAGCCATTTTTCAATTAATTGTGCAATTTTTATATAAAATTGTGCATTGCACAAAAATTGTAAGCACAAAATTTAACATTTCTAGGTTTTTGCTTAGGGCTTTTTTTTAATTTTAATTTATTGAACTAATAAAGTCAATTTTTGTAGATAGGTTTTAAATATGTTATTGAGCCAATTATTTTTTTTCTGGGTAGGAATACCTAACTGTTATTCTTTTTATTTTAAATATAAAAACGTAGGGTCACTTGCCCCTACCAACCTTTAGATGAGGAAGTATATCTGTGATTGTTTATATCTTCCCTATATTCCCTCATTCTTCTTTTAACGCATAAGATAAAAGCTTCTAAATATTTTCCTTATTGATATTTAAATAGTAGTGAATAGTGACATATTTTGTGTGATGTTTCAGGGGGTAGTTTGTCCACATTATCTCTTTTTTTTCCCCCATTTCTATTCATAAAGGATTTTTGGTGATAGTAGTTTATTATTTATTGCTTATTTGAGTCTTTCATTTTCTCTTTGAAGTTAAAACAATAACGGGAGAATTATTTTAAACAAATTTTTAAAATTGTTTTTTCTCAAAATCATTATGTCCTTTTGATCCCCTAGGCTTCTGTTGCCTCTGGTACTAGTATAATGTCTCTAGACAGACTACTATAAATGACTATTCTTTTAGGAAGATTATATAAAAAAGTAATAACAATTAAAAGCATTAATAATAATAAAAACATTAATAATAATTGAACAAACCAAAATTTCAAGCTTAAGTTTGGTCTAGCACAGGGTGTTCCAACTTGCATGTGGCAGGGGGCCGAAATTAAAAACCCCAGTCAAATGGCGGGCCGAAACTTTAGCACAATTTTATATAGGACTCTTTTATGTTTAAAGGAATATTAAATATCACTGTCAGATTGTTATCAAAGTTTTTTCAATATTAAAAAGCAAAATAACAAGCATTACAAGTATTGCTTGTTATGTATCATTTTGAATCTTCTCTTAATCAGAAACTTAGTGACAAGATTTTTTTCTTTTAAATTTAATTTTGTGATTAACATTTTTAATTAACATTTTTGCTACTCATTAGAAATTATAGGAACAACAACAACAAATTCTCGAGCATCTGAAAGTAATTTTTTTTTCTTTTTCGCTCATGCGATATTCAGTTTAAGGAATTTAAATAAAACATGATATTCATTCCCTATTTTAGGCATCTTAAAATTTACAAATGTAAATAATTTCGTCCAAAATTAGTGGTTTCAAAAAGTTAAATGGGAGGATTTCTTTGAGAAAATTTCTGATATGCACATGCTGAATTATATTCACAAAATACAAAAAAAAATAAATAAATAAATAAAAAAGAGCAACATACACGATTATTTTTGAATTTGAATAAATATTTTCTTGGATGCAGAACCTGAGAAATAAATTTTTTGCAGCGTTGGTATGTTAAATTTCACAGAAACGAAGAAATTAGGTTTATTTAAAGAAAGGTATTCTAAACCCATATAGATTTTTTTCAAAAATTGTCCCCCCCAAAAAACCCGACAACTAATATATTTTAGTTCTCGGGCCACAAAAAAGAGCTTAGCGGGCTACCAGTTGGTAACCACTGGTCTAGCATATGAAATATTTTTTTGAATTAGTAATGCCAGTATAATTTTCTCTGGATCTTTTTTATTAAACCATAAAGCTTTCGTCACAATTATCATTTAATTTTTTATCCTTTTTAGGGTTTGAAAAGATTGATGACTCAATGCCAGAGATTTTTTCCTACAGATCCCTCCCGCTCCGTTGAATATAATGCTTAAAAAGAAACTCCATTTCTTTTGTTGTATCATATGTATATAATGTGTGTTTGTTATTGTGGCTTTGTATGTGGGAATGCATTAAATAATTTTATTTCATTAAGTCTTGAATTACATTTCTTGAAACAACATTTTATGTATGAATAGGATTTTTTTTTTTATTCTTCTTCTTCATAATAATATTTTTAGAAACTGTGTTTAACTGAAATTTGTCTTATTTGTTAGCTTATAGTATAATAGTTCTTGATTTTAAAATTTCAAAAGTGCAGTGTTCAGTTCAGCAGTAGAATGGCTTCTCACTTAATAAAAATTTTTGAATATTTTTGCTTTAAAAAAAACTGCATAATAAAAAGTCCTTTCCCATAAATATTGTCATTGAATGTAAAAAAATGCAAAAGAATGAAATTTATTGCAACCATAGTTAGGTAATATAGACGTAAGCTGTACACGGATACATTGGCAGATATTCTCCAATTTTGCTGATAGTTTTTTGATATTTATTGTAATATTTTTAAAAAAAGTATCCGCAAAAAAAAACATTTACGGAGGAAAAAATAAAATAAGAAGCAGGCGAAAACATACATAAACATAATTTATGCAAGGTAAAAGAAAGTTGTATTACCGAAGAGAAAAGAACTGTTCATTTTTGCCCAAGAATTAGTGATCCCATCATTAGCAGACAAGCAAACAACGGGACATGACTATTGCTTTACTACAAAAATAAAAAATTACGGTGACAGTAGGAAATCTTTTAATGTAATTTCGTTTGTTAATAAAAATGAAACATTGTTGCCCAAGTTTGACACAAAAATTAAATATGGTTTTTGCTGTGAAGGAGAATTACGCGCTCGAAATTATTAATATTACTTAATTTTTAGCATGATAATAATTACTTAAGGCCAATGCAGTTCTTTAATTTTATTTTTATATATAACTAGTACTTATATATGACTACAGTCAACCCTCGATATCTCGAACTTGAAGGGAGAGGAGAAAAAATTCGAGATACCGAAAATTCGAATTATCAAAAATCGCATGTAATCGATGGTAGAATAAAGAAAAATACTCTTTACATACCTGATTTACTATTCCATATTTATTCGAAAAACAATTTTTACACTTGGAAAGGATTCAATTGTTGTTTGCTTTAGAGATGTGTACGAAAGTTTATCTATAACACTTTCTAAGTGGACTATAGCTTTACTTGTCTCCTCTGACATATTCGGCTGCCTCTCAGTAAATCTCCTTACAGTGTCCACTGACTGCAGAAAGTGCTTGTTTGAGAATTGGTTATGATTATGAGAATTGATTTTCTAAACTCAAAATTTTTTTCGGAATATTTTTTTGTTTTCAGAAAAAAAAATCTACACTATTTATGTGAAAAATTCAAGTTATCGTGGGATTAGAAAAAAAAATTCGAGAAATCAAGTTTCTTTTAACATTGAGTGTATAGGAAATTTGAAAGGAATTTTTTTTTCTTCGAGATATCAAAAAATTCGTGAAATCGAGGTTCGAGTTAGCGAGGTTCGACTGTATTTATATTAAACTTTCTCTAATGTTCTTAATGCTAAATCACTTGTACATATTATTTTTTTTGTCGGGAATAAATATGTTAAATACCTAAATGTTTTTTGTCGTTTTTTTAATGTGATAAAATCATTAGGTACTCATATGAGCTTGCAGATACTTTTGGATTGCTTTTACAGATACTTTATTTTTTTATCTTACTTTACTATAATTACAACTACTATTTTATACTAATGCTTACTATAATTTATATTGCAATTGTAATGATTGAAAATTATAAGAATATTAAATATAGCTAGTCTATAAAATTTTTCCTAGAAATTTATTCTTGAAACAAATCGGAAAATTAATTTCAAAGCATCCTGTTAGTTCTGTGTACAATATAAGTGCTATGAAACAAGAAATTAAAGACTATTATAAAACTTTTGTCTAACGGAAAAACTGAAAATCATTACTCTCTACTAGAGTACTGTGCCTGATGTCAAAGCAAGTTTCAACTTTCTCTTAACCGGCTCACATAGAACTCGTCATGATTTTATCACCCAAGGAACTTAACTATCACATTAAAATTAGCTAGAATGCTCAAATTTTAATTGTATGCTAGATGCATTAAATCATTTCCTGACTTTTGCAATCTTAACTTTTTGAGATGTTATCACTAAAGGTAATTTATCGTCAATTAAAATTTTGATTTGCTAGATTACACAATTTTAAACTTAAATTTTCTTTTCCTCACTACTTTATAAATTTTAATAGTTTCCTGACTGCTAGCAAAATTTACTATCAATCTTAATTTCAAACTCTTTCAGCTTTGCTCATTTCAATCTTTTCCAGATCTTCACTGGCCGAATTTATTTCCAAATAGAATTTATTACCGATCGAAATTTCGACTAATTTACATTTAAATAGTGTTCAAACTGTATCTGAAGCTTTGTGTTGGATGATATTATAAGTTGCAATTGTTTTAGTTCCGCAGTGAACTGATCGTTAAGACACGGTTCTCAGCAGATCACCAAAGTGAAGCATCACTGGCTACGGTCAGTGTGCGGGTGGGTGATCACTTGGATCAGCCTGCGTAGGGACCGAGGGTGTGCGGTATTGGTCCTCGTTAAACTGTTCTACCGTAAAGTGCTCGATTTCGCGTGCAGGTCGTCGGGCTACCGAAGCGGGGGTGCCATCCCCTCTGCAGAGGATCAAAATTGTGATGGCATGTCTTCGGATCATCCTCAGGGATGTTTCCCAGCTCTAGTGCGACGTAAATGAACAACAACAACAGCAATTGTTTCATGACCCCTACTTTTTTCGTTTTGGGTGCGAACACAGTTTTAGAAGTTATGTTTTTAAAGTGAAATGAAAACGAGAAAATAATTCTATTTTTGTCACACTTATAACAAAAAAGGTGGAGCACAACACTTTCATAATAAACCTCTATCACCACTCCCGAAATCTATTTGCCCCATCTTTCGAAACTAACGTGCCCTGCGTTTTTCATTTTAGATATGTAAAAATAGAATTTTCTTTTTATTCCACTTGAAAGACTCAGTTTTCCAAAAAAATGTCTCCTGTGAGCCATTTTTTGTGATCATTGTTGCATTGCTTGTTATGTTGAAGATTTGATAACCACGTACAAGATTAAAACTTTTATGGAATACTTCAGCATTTGCTCTACTTATCCGGCTGCAATCTTCGCCTGTTAGTTCATTTCCTGATAAAATTTCCAAAAACCCAACTTTTGGTAGCGATGTAAAAGGAACTTTAAAAAAAATTACCATAGTATTTAGGTTTTTGCTATGATGATATTTTCTAACATCGGTCACCCATACAACATCAAACCAACATACAGATATTCATGTTATTGCAACTACCATTCTTAAAAAAAGAATTATTTTAAATATGGCTGATTGTGGTCAAAATGCTATGTCATCTTGGTACATCTAAAAGTATGTCTGAGCCCTGATGGCTCAGGGGATAAAGCGTTCACCTCCCAATTAAGTGACCCATGTTTGAATCCCAGCGGTTTCTGGTTGAAGCGAATTCTGCACCCAGCTCGCACAGACCATAATGCTGCCGTGAACTAACTTAAGTGATAGACCATGGGTTATTATCCCCTTGTTGTCAGGCTAGCTGTGAGAGGGTATTGCGGTTTTCTTCCCCGTGTAACGCAAATGCCGGCTAGTTTCATCTAAAAGTCCTCCACGAAAGCTAGTTTGTCCCAATGCTTGATCCATGTGTTCCCTTGTCTTCTGTGTTTGGTTTAAAATTGCATGGCTACGGAGTTGAACATTGATAGTCGTATACTTAGAATTGAGTGGGCTGTTCTACGACGTTTATAAAATAAACTATCTTGTTTCTCCAAGGTAAGTTTCCAAAGTAAAATAATTGATTTAGCAGCAATATGGAAATAATTCTAATGAGTTAAGACATACCTGCTTTTGAGGCAATAACTTTAGCTGAAAAAGCTTAGGAATTCTTCCGGACCCTTATCATTGCTAATTTAAATTTAAAATTTTCTGTTGCCCGTTATCAATCTTATATTTATTAAGATTGAAGACTCTTAACTATTGAGACAAAAAAAAATAATAATAATGATTTACTCTCTTTCATTTTCCGACTCATTGATATCTCTAAAATCAGCTTCAAAAACTATTCTGAAAAACTTAAATACTTAAAGAAAATTTGATAATTTTTTAGGATAGTGTATAGATGATTTGTTTTAGCATAAATGAAGTTTAACTTCTTCAAACTATATTAAATGAGCACGGTCTAACAAATTTTTCGTAATGATAGCGAATTTGCATTAAAGAAAAGACATCACGAATAAATTATGCAACTAAGCGACAATCTTAATGGTTCTGAAAGGTAAATTAAATTATTAATTAGCGCTAACTATTAATTAAGCTACGAAATCAGACAGAAAAACGTATTTTCTCTAAATAAAAATACTTTTTTATCATCATAATTTTGGGGGAAGGAGAAACAGACTGGAAAATATAATCAAATAGTTCAGTCAGGAGAATGGTCAGATTATTAGATCCTTTACTGTTCCACTTTTTATATATTTCGCTCCGTAAAGGGAAATTTTTAAGGGAATCGAATTATAAAACTTGGTTATCCAAGGAAAACTTTTCATTTATCCGAATATTAAGGAAAATTTCTAAGAATTTATTTAAAAAATATTTCATTTGGTGTAATTTTTTTTTTTTTTTAAATATCTGTCAAAATTATTTTGTTCCATTTAAAACTAAGTAATTAAAAATGACAAAATACAAAATTTGAACGAAATTGGTCAAATAGTTATACAGCTTTTTTGAAATTTTATAAACCCGAAACTATTCTACCATTTTCGCTGAAATTTTTTAGATCCTTATTTAAAATTACATAGTTCGAAATGGTGTGCAGAACTTCTATGACTTGCAGCGTATAATTTTTTATTTTTTTTTGACCGTTACTGATTTAAATAATAATGAATAATATTATTTTTTATTATTCGGAACTATCTTTGGATAAATGAATTTTATAATTGTGTGCAGAATTTTTCAATACACTTAAAAATTTCCTGAAGTATGGAGAAATATGTGAATTGTTAAATCAACATCAAGGGGTTCAAACTTATGACCATTCTACAGCCTAAACTATTGGAACCATATTGCTGCTAATATTTTGATGATCAATAATCCAAATCAGTCATTAAAAAAATGCATGTTTTTATAGAAAAAGTACGTTTTTGTGTCCTATAACATAATTTAATCAATAATTGTCAAAGATTAATTACTGTATTTGAGGTTATCTCTTTGAAGTACTAAAGGTTAAAGTATGAAATTAGTTTATTACTGGTTAGTTCATGAAAAATACTGTCTCTTTGAAAATTTAAGATTCAAAAATTGAAATTTTTTATAAAACCGAAGTGGAGGAAAAAATTTTTGAGAAAATCAGTTGTCTTTAAAAAAATTAAGCCACCAGTTTTAATTTTTATAGGTTTCGTGAATCCAGAGTTTGGAGGGGATCCAAGATAGTGTTCGGCAGGTCTGACCACGTAATATGCGTTGTTCTCGAAATCGGTGTTTCAATCACTGCCAAACTCTTCTTTGTTCGACTATTTTTAAGAATATAGCTGTAACAACTTATAACCATAAAAAATTACAATCCTTTTTTATTAAAAATTTGAGGACTCCTCATAGAATATATTTAATTTTTTCCACCAAGAAATAAACTTATAATCCAAGCAAAAAAAAGAAGAAAAAGAAAAAGGGAGTTTTCTTCAGAACTAACTTTTCTTTAGAAAGCTTTGTTATGTCATTATAAACCAGTGGTTCCCAAATGGTGCTCAGCGGAGCCCTAATGTTCTATGAAAGAGTTTAAAATGTTCCGAGACTGTTTTTTTTTTATTTTTTTATTTTAAGGCAGTAATGATTTGAAATTTTTAATTATATGCGAATCTAACCAATAATCCAATACTTATTTAATAGTTCAATTGCCTTTATATAAAATTATTTTAAATAAAATGCCGATAAAAACAACTACAAGTTTTTTTTATCTTCTTTTTTTTTTAATTTAATTTTTTCAATAACAATATACTCAATAAATTATTAAAATGAAATATGCTTGTATTCCCCTTCGGACTTTTCAAATCAAAATAAAATAACTAAATTCGCTAGTGAAGAAATATGTTTCCCTGATAACTATTTTCTCTGGGGTTCGATCCCCAGTGGCTGCTCGATACCCACCCAGCTTCAGATCGATGAGTACCACCTTGTCTGGAAAGCAAAGGCAACCTATCCCCAAGCTGACCACATTGCTACAATCATGCCGTTGGACGCGAAATTGCTAAGCCTTAACCACCGCGACGCTCTGGCCCACAACGGGCTGCTGAAGAAATGTTTTACTTGATATCCATTTTCAACGTTTATAGCAGCAACTTTTAGTTTATATTACAAATAAAACCATAATTTGTCGAATTTTATCCGTATTTAGCGTATAAATGTACACCAAAATATATACACCAAAAACAAATTCCTTACTAAACTAAAATAAAGCCCCATAACAGCGAATTTAACTATCGGACATAAAATCTAATTTAAGATTATCAATATAAATGATTAAAATAATTCCACTTATTAAGTATTTTAAAAATAAAAGAATATTTTTTTCGCAATTATCTTTATATACTTTAATAAAGAAGTAGGGGTTCCGCCGAAAGTGGGTTGATCCCCTGTAAGTTTCACCCTTTTTATCAGGAAAATGGTGGTGATTTGAGGGAGAATTGTATATCCTTTATACAGATAAGTTGATGAAGTTTTTCCACTGAATCAGAAGAGATTAATCATGCGTACACGAACCAATAGTTTAGAAGTTATAAGGGTTTTAAGTAAAAATATACATTTTTGTACCTGTTCCTATTTGTGCCTCTGATATTGCTATCTAAACAAGTGATACATACTTTCCATGCATTTTTTCCCGCAGAATCGAATAAGGCTATACGCGAGGCAATAGAATGAATAGTTTAGAAGTTGCGAGAGCTTTTATGTATAAAAAAGTACTCCTTTTGATGTGCAATTTTGTGCGCACTTTACCTTACTATCTAGGGATTATTATGAGCATGTAAGGTATTATTTTCGGTGTAATTTTTCACATTGAATTAAATAAGGTCAATACCGAGACGACCAATCTAATAGTTTCGAATTTATAAGCGTTTTATGTACAAAAAGTATGATTTTGGATATTCACTTTTATCTTGCACTTATTCGTCATCTTACATTGCTATACTGACAAGTGAGGTATTTTCTCCTATGTACTTTTTCTCGTTCAATTGAATGATGCTAAACATGAATCAAAAGGACTAGTATTTCAAAAGTTAAAATCATTATTTTGTATTAAATTTGCGATTTTTTATTTGCCCTTATGAAGAAAACCTTATAACTTCAGAACTATATACCCTATCATATTAATCTATCTTATTAAATTTAGTACAAAAACTTTCATCGGAAATGTACATAAGTCATTTCAAAAATAGGCTTTTTAAACATAAGAATTCTCGCAACTTTTGAACTACTTGTTCATTGGCACGTGTTTCATATTATATATATGTATATATACACCGAAGAGCCATTACATTATGACCACCCTCCATCTATAACAATGGGCTCACCCAGGTTTTCATGGTTTCTCGCCCAGGAACAATGTTTTCATGGGGCACATTAGGACCCATAATCCTCATAGAACAATCCCTGACGTCTGTAAGCTACTTGAACATAGTTGCAGACCAGGTTCACCCATTTATGGCAGCAGTTTTTCTTGCGGGGGATGGTGTTTTCCAACAGGATAATGCACCATGTCATAAAGGTCGAATCGTCATGGAGTGGTTCGAGGAACATTCCAGTGACTTTCAAGTCATGTCTTGGCCCCCAAATTCACCTGACCTTAATCTAATAGAGCATTTGTGGTACTACTTGGAAAATCAAATTCGTGCTGCCACGCTACCCCCTCGCAATGTGAGGGAATTGCAGGACCAGTTGGTGAGCGCTTGGTACCAGATACCTCAGACTACCTATCAGCACCTTGTGGAATCAATACCACGGAGGGTGCTAGCAGTTTTAAGGGCTGAAGGTGGTCCTACATGTTATTAGCAGGGTGGTCATAATGTAATGGCTTTTCGGTGTATTACCATAGTTTAAAAAAATTTCCGTGAATCTTTGTTGAGTTTAAATTATTTATTTTTATTGATTTTAATTTTAAATATTATTTACGATAAGGTTAAGATTTATACCAATAGTTTTACTTAAAATGCATCATTAACTTTTTCGGAATCCTCCAATGCATTTATGTAAATAGTAATATTTAAACTTGAACAAAAAATTATTAATAATAAATTCAAGTTTTTAATTAATCATAACTAAACTCTAAACTCTATTTTTTTCAATGAAGAAAGGAAATAATTCAACCGAGTTTAGAGTATTTTTTATCCTTAATATCTTTACTTTCTAATTTAAAATCATTAATAAAATTAAAAAAATATATAAAGCAAAAAACTTGAATCTTTTTAATGAATTAATAGGAAATGTTACTATAAGATCCCGAGTTCTAAGAATATTACTAAGATCCTTTCTTACAAAATTCGCTAGTTTTTGCTAGTCTAATTACATTCCTGATGTTTTAAAATTTTTATTGTGGAAAATAGATTTGAAGTTACTTTTTATATGCTTCATCAAAAATTTACCATGCACGTAGAGTTTAATGAAGAGCGTTTATTCAGTCAAAACAACCATTGCTCAAAACAGTAACGTTAAGCGGCAATCCATTAGTTTAAATAACACAAGGGGTACAGCTAAGTAATACAGAATTAGGAATGCATGTATATTTGATGACTTAATTCAAAACAACAGAGCGTAAAATTACTGCAGCTGCAAAAGCAGCCACTTCACTAAATTAAGACCCGAAGAATATTATATCTGCTCGTCAAAATATCTCCCTTTTTGCTGTATAATTTGTAAAATTAGCTATACAAAACTTCTGGAGCTATTTGCAAGCCATCGCGACACAACTAAATGTCCAGAAATCGTGCTTAGAATAAGTGGGTGGTACTTAGAAAAATGGTGGTTTTTGATTGGTTAAGAAATGTCTAGGTCATATAGTAATATAGCCACTAAAAACGTTACACCAATTTAATTACTGTAGATCTTAATAACTAGTACTTTTAACTGCTCAGAGGACAAGTCCCTTACATTTAATTGCTTCGTAGTTTCGAAAATGTAGCAACTTTAATGGCAGAATACAGTTCTAAAAAAATATTAATTCTCCAAATTTAATGATTGTATTGGAATTTTAATTTCAAAATTGATCTTAAGTTTAAAAATTAACTGTTTGGATTCAAAATGTTCTGGGACATCGTTTTGTATACGTTGGTGGCAATTGGTAAATTGGAAGCGACAACACCGATGACAACTATGCCACCTACTACACCACCTCCTACGAATAATTTTTTTTTTGGTGCTGCGGCATCAAAACATCGAAGGGATAAAAAACTGGATGTAAAACCTTTAGCTGTAGTACATGGTAAGATTTATAATCATTTATTTACCATTACTGAAATTCACATAGGGGTACAATAAGTTTAAGGTGCCCCAAATGTAAAAATTAGTAGTAAAATAATTTATTGCAAACCACCCAAAATTATTGACCACGAGAAATCAGTAGGGTAACCCATAATCGCCAATTCTTTCAATTTCTCTAAAAGATTTTAGTTTTACAATTAATCTGGTAGCCACTTTAATGCACCCGAACTCGATTCATGCACGAATAAATTCAATTTAGAACTATTTTGAATTTATTATTTAGAACTATTTAAAATTATTACGCTACGTTTAAATAATTTAAACACACATATTGAACATCTATTATTCATGTGGTATTTACCAGTACGCTTGGTTCATCACTTTAAGAGAGCCACTGACTTAGTAACTAGTCTTTTAATTATAACTCCTTTTTATTTGATAATTCAATTTTGATCTTGTGTTCTCAGTTTTGCGTACAAATATATATGCAGTCAGACCTCTATTTAAGGAAGTCTCTAAATCCCGATTAAAAGTTCGTTATATGGAAAATTCCTTAAGCAGAAAATCACCTTTTGAAATAGTTAAACAACACAAGACAGGTTATAAATTCATAAACACTAGACATAATTAAAATAGCATCTGATTCACCTTTATCTTGTAAACTAGGATCTACTATTTATTTTATAAATTTTAACCATAAAAGAAATCTGCATGGAAAGCAAGAATAGAGCAAAACATTATCCAGTGTAACCCTATCATGCTATGTACATTTTCAACTGAAAAAAGCTAAATTTATGTATAAAATTATAGCTGCATTTATTATAAAAGTAATTTCAAACATACATTACCACATGCGTTCTTAAGTTAAATTGCTACTGATGAAAGCCTTTAATTTCTTTTGAAATGTAAACAAAGAGGGAAAGAGATTTTACTGCCTTCTTTATAAAAGTTTGGCTTCGAAAATCAATTCAAGTTCATTTCCCTAATAAAATGTGTTAACAATTTTGAAATGTTCTGAAATATTTTGGAAAATAGGGAAAGTGGATCTCAAAGAAAAGTTCGTTAAATAGAAAATTCACTTTGCTATTTGGAAGTTATTTTACGAAGAAATTTCCAAAATGTTCTAGGTTCCTCGAAAAAAATCGCAAAATAGACAAATTCGCACAATGGAGGTTCGTTAAATAGAAGTTCGACTGTATCTTATAAGTATTATCAATTTATCTCGATTTATTTACTATATGTATTCTCGTATTAATCTCGACTTATTCTTATCGTATATTAAATTGTTTTGCTAATTTTATTGTAATTTATTTTGTCATTCTGTATTTTCAAATTGAGTTCATCATATTACTACCGCCTGTTCGCTATTTCGCTTATAACTTACCCCTTTGGTGTCTGGCATCCCCTCTCCCTTCCATTATGCTCTCACTTCAAATATTTTCCCATTATCGAGATACCATCATAGACGAATCAGCTAATGCCGATTCTCGCAGCGCATTCAGATAAACTCTATTTCTAACCTTCTATTATTCTTCGTTAAAGGGTGTCTACGGAAAATTTTCATGACCTTTATCCAAAATTCGATGATTTTCACTGATTTTTGAGCTAACTAATTTTTGAAATGCAATTTTTCCTTCGAATTTGATATTAAGTAATAAGAATTAGTTTCTAAAAAGAAGTGCCAATTAACAACTCTGCTAAAAGAGATTTTTTGTTTGAGACGATAGACACTCTGGTTAAGTATTTCGATGAGTGAGATAAATATAAAATCAAAAGTCTACTTAACAATGCCAATTCAAATTTCATTTTACTGCCACTAGATATAAGCTTCTTTGGTGAGCCTAAAATCTACACATATAGTAGCCCATATGCTATATTGATACAACATACATATAACAGGGCTATTTGTGACCTGGAAAAACGAAAAGCTTTAGAAAGCCTAAAAGTTGCAAGTATAGTAGCCCATATTCTATATTGATGTAACATACATATAACAGGACTATTAGTGTATTGGAAAAAGAAAAGCCTCTTTGGAAAACCTAAGAGTTGCAAGTATAGTAGCCCATATTCTATATTGATATAACATATATATAACATAGTTATTTGTGCCCTGGAAAAGAGAAAGAAAAGCTGGTAGTAAAACTATTTCATAACTATCCTGTTTTTAGATGAAGTAAAGAAGTTCTGGCTACCAAGACTTATTAAAAGTTATTTTTTAGGTTATAACTTAAGAACTTAAAAATTATAAAAGTTATATCTTATATACAACACTATTTTCTGTAATAGAAAATAACTCCGCAAGTGGCTCCAGGTGCCCATTTGAAAGAACAGGATCAGGATGTGAGAAATAACTGTTAATAAGACTTCGTACTCAAAGATGGATTCCTAACGGAAACAGACTAAAAATGGAATGGTTTCACTTCCAACTTTTTCTCTTTTCCAGGATACAAGCAGCCCTGAATATAATCCTCCATATGCGTGGTTCCCATAAGACCATAAATGTAATAGTGGTATTAAATTTATATTCAGCTTCATAATAACCTTAATCTAAATAATATTTAATAGCCTTTTTTAAATCGTACGCAGATTTCAGTTTTATTCATATGTTTAAAGCGTGGCGGTAGTTACGATTTAATAGTTAAGTTGAAAAGTAAAGGAATTGCGGTCACTTTTTTGATTTTTAAGTACATATTCAATCCAGGGCTGATCATTTTGGAAAAAGATGAAATAAAGACTTTTAAAAATTTTCCTTTCTAAGTTAAAAGTACATAGAAAATAAGGAAAAAAATATGTAATTTCTTTAGAAAGAAGATGTACAAAAATTAGGAATAAATAAAATATTTTTTCAAAATATTTAAAAAAATTTAAAAAAGTAAAAAGCCGAAAACAAAATAAGGAAAAGATAAAATCTTGTCATCAGCTCATACTATTATATCCAAAAAAAGTGCTTTTTAATATTGCATTAATATAGCCGAAGCAAAATATATTTATACAAAGTATGAGTGCAAAAACCAAAGGTTATCATGTAAATGACATTATTAATTTTACAAACAGATTTACAGTTATTATTTTGAATTATAATATATAATTTTTTTTGTCAATATTGGATTAAGTTTTACATTTTATCGCCACATTCTTTATAAGACGGAGAAAATTCTGGTACTGAATGAAATTCAAAAACTCTTTTGTTTTCAGAGTAACAGATTGTCGATCCGAGCTCCGTTCTGAATTAGGTTCCTCATACCGGATACAACATGTAGAATAATTTATATATTTTACAAATTTTTTACCGTCACTAAATTAATAGTCCTGTTTGAATCCATAAAAATAGTCTAAAAAAGCAACGTTCTAAACTCACGAAACGAAAGCAAAAAACGGAAACTAAAATGAAGCTGCATTGAATATGATCACTAAAAATATAACACAATAAAAGCAAAAAAGAATAAAAGAAAAGAGAGATTAACCCATAAAAGTAAGAAAAATAATTTACTGCGCATAAGCTGCAAGTACATAGAACCCATAAAATAAGTTAAAAAAACATGAAAAAAAAACAAATTTTTTTTTAAAAAGAAGAAGAAGAAACCCTATTGTATTGATATATTTTGCTTTGGAATATCAGAAAGCGCTCATTTTGTGGGTATAATCGTGTGAGCTGATAAAGAGATTATATCTTTTCCTTATTTTGCTTTTTGGTTGTTTTTTTTTTCTTCAAATTTTTGAGAAAATTTTCAAGTATTTCTTAAAAATATTTCATTTATTAATAATTTTTATTCTTCTCTCTAAAAAAATTTAAACATTTTTTTCTTGCTTTCTTTGAATTTTTAACTTATTTTATGGGTTCTATGTATCTCCATCTTATGCGCAGAATATAAAACTTATTGTTTTTTTTTTTTTGTTAATCTCTCTTTTCTTTCATTCTTTTTTGTCTTTATTGTGTTAGATATATACTAGATGGTTAAGCCCCCTGTTAGCTGTCGCTCACCAACCCCGATGATAGTTCGCAATAGTTGTTGTTCCTTGGCATAAAACAGTTGAAATTATGAAACTTGAAATTCATGTGCTAAAAAGAACATTTATGCCGCCACTTCCTACATATAGTATATATATATAAACTGAAGAGCCATTACATTATGACCACCCTGCTAACAACATGTAGGATCACCTTTAGCCCTCAAAACTGCTAGCACACGCCGTGGCATTGATTCCACAAGGTGCTGNTACTATTGGAATATATATATATGCTATCATCCAGAGTTGAAAACATTATTTTTTTAAAAAGTTAGATACATTGCTGCAAACTTTTGCGTATTTTGCATAAAATTTTATTTTTATGCTTGAAACGGTTGCGCTTTATGAAATTACTATTACTATTGACTATTTCTTTAATTTATAAATTTAACTTAAAGTGATTTTGACTTTCTTTACATATAAATAAATTAATCATATTCTTAAAAGTATGATAATCATGCGATGTTCAGTTTAAGTTCTTGCAAACTGAAGAAGAAAAAAAAAACATTTCTGCATGAGACTACATAATTGAATATTAGTTTTATTACCAGTTGGGAAAATAATCCTCGAAAAGATGAAAATATAGCAGGTTACGTAAATAATAGTAGTAGCACGATTTCAATGTAAATATTTATTTTGCTTAAGCAAAACATTTATAGCTTGCCATGTATTTTTATTAAGTGATTTCACGTGGGTATGAAAAAAGTAGTCTTTCTTTCCTTTTTTTTAAAAATCTAAAGTGATAGTTATCAAAAAAAAAAATATTCACTGAGTAAAAATTTAAAAATCTTAAATTTTAATCTTAATTATAGATTTCTATAAGCAATAATATAATATAGTTGATACGAATAGTTATTGTTCTTATGTAAACGTTAATGCATCATGAATAATTATGCCATTACATACCTGCCAACTTTTACGCATTCGGCGTAAAATTTTATTTTGATATTTAAAGTGGTAGTAAATATATACTATATTTTCTTCTTTAAACTTAATTTTTAAACGATTTTGATGACCACTATTCTTAAAAAAATTAAGCATATATAGTAATATGTATTACTATCATGGTTGTCAGCTGATGTTTTTTCAAAAACAACGTATTTTTTTGCTTGCAATTGAAATTTTTATTCTGTTTTACTACCACTGGGAAAAATTATAATGGAAGGCATTAAAAGTTGGCAGGTATGCCATTATTTATCGTTTGGATCAAAGCGATACTTTCAACTAAATTTGATTAAAATAATAAAATATAGTTCGAAATTTTTTACTGAAAGATCGTAATATATTATATGAATTTTCTGCTCAACACCCTAAATTTGCTTAAAATTTTTTACAATTTTTGTGTAATGTTTTTTTTTTAAATTTATATTAGGTGTTTCAGCATTGCATTGTCTTGGTCTATGCGTGCAACGCCAAATAGGAAGCAAATCAAAGATTTGCAGATCATTCAATCATTATAATGGAACTGATACATGCTATATGCTAAACACTTACGTATGTGATGGAGATAGAGATTTAACAGACGCTCCTGGTTACAGTTATTTCGATCTAGTGGATGACTACACAAGAGACGTGAGAAATTTTAATTTATGTCTTTTTCTTTCAGAGATATCTGCTTTTTCCGCTTAGAGGGGGGGGGAAATTATTTCCATTTTTTGCAAAATTTATACTTTTAATTTCTAGCAAAATTAAAAATTTATAAATATAAACAACCAGACATAGTTCATGTTATTAAGGCCAATCACATTCGATGACTGGGACACCTTTATAGATCTGGAGACCAAAACCCCGCAAAAAAAGCACCTTTATTTTAAACCAGAAGGTACAAGAAGAAGGGGTCGTCCACCGACTACGTGGCTGGACGCAGTTGAGAGGGACCTAAAGATAATAGGAATAACTAACTGGAAGGCCATGGCACAGAATAGATCAAGATGGCAAAAACTTATTGGGACGGTCTTGGCCTGTCATAGGCTGTAGTGCCCAAGAAGAAGAAGCAAAATTTATGTATTAGGTACTTGGCTTAGCATACTTAAAGAAAACTAATTTATCTCCTCTACTTACAAATAACACTGGGGACAAATTTTTTATCCCTTTATGCAGGTGCATGATCAAAATCAATTTTGGATGTAAGGATTTTAAATGAAAAATTAGTTTTGTTGTGAATGCTGCAGATTTTTGTTCTCAAAATGATGTTTTTGGCTTAGTTCATTTCTGTCTGAATTTACAAATTTATAAAAAACGTATAGGCCTTATATACATACAAATACACTTATATGCTCTTTTGAAAATAATACTTCGGACAAAAAGCATATCAAATCGTAAATTGAACTGTATTATCGCCTTCTTACTACCATTCCTTACGCAATAGAGAAGTGCTGACGCTTGGTATTCACTTGAGAGTACTAAAAAAGTTCTAGTTATGAATACATTATAAAACTGCATAGAAAAGGAAACCTTTAGAGAGAAACCAATTGTAGATTTGAAGTCAGCGATGCAAGAATATATCAAGATCCGTACAACAATATTCATGCAAAAAAAATTTTTTTTCTTCAATACAATTTAAACATATACAGAAAATTTCACTTTCACTTCCGTTATCTTACAATAAAAATTCTAAAAGGTTTTTGAAATTCAACGAAGTTTCAGTGTTTAATATTCTACTGCTTAATACAATAATAGTTTGCAGAAAGCGGAGCACTTGATAGTCCTACTTATCACTAAATGAAGTTTAGGAAGCAGTGTTGCCATGGATGACTAAAAATGCAAAACGTGGAGCCGAACAAAATTCAAAATTTCATTAAAAGAGATTAGGAAAAGGAAATTTTTTCTACCATATTACCTTCAGTTTACTATTGAAAGTGAATGCAAAGAATGTTTTTGCTTTAAATAAGAATAACTTGAAATGTAAGTCATAATGGTAGTTACAATAGATTGATTAAAGAGATTATAAATGAATTGAGTTTTGACCACTCTTTGCATTTTTAGTCGTTCGTGGCGTCCATGTGTGAGTGCCTATGCCTATGTGACTTCCTTATCTAAGTATCGGCCCCGTCAGGCCCCAACTTATTCATCTCAGTGGTAGTTATGGTACAAAAGCCGTACATGAAAATTAGTACAATAAGGATAGAATGAGATATATACAGGTATTTACAGAGGTATAAGAATACAGAATATTTACAGAATATTACAATCTCGGTCACCTGCCTGCCTCGCCTCCCCCCTTGCGAGCTTCATGGGTTCACAGACAGGGACTTTGGGAAGTGGGATAGGAGAAGTACATTAACTAGTTAAATCTATTAGATAAAACTGCGTCTGATAGATAAAATACGGTTGCCGGGCTGTATAGGCTGTTATCCTTATACAGCCCGGCAACCGTATTTTACCGTGTGGGAGTGATTATACCTATAAACCATCTCGCAAACAGTTTGAGAAAAGAAAGTGGTAGTTATAAAAATTACTTTTTCTGAAAAAAAGGTGCAAATTAAATTTTTTCTACAAATATGTTATTTTATTTTATTTTATTTTATTATTTTCAGAATGAACAGTAGACCTTTGACGAAGATACTTGGCAGCATTACTGCTGGTAGGAGTGATAAATGTTAACACACCGAAAAATCTCAAACATAAAAAAATAACTCACAAAAAATAGTTAATCAAATTTTTTTTTAACTGAACATTTATTTATTTTAAACATAAAACTGCGCTTTTAATTTGAAAAAAAATTTAAATAAACAGACAATAAAATCACTTTCTTTCTAGCTTGCTTCTGGCAAAAATAAAACATTTTCTAGAAAAAATGGTTGTCTTAAAGTTTTGTATATCAAGTTGTGGAAGTCAGGAACATTGTATTCTTTCGAAATCCAAGCAACAAATGAAAGAGCTTTTTTTTCTTCTTTTTTGTCGTAAAAGTTCTCTAACGGTGAAAAAAATAAACCTATTATAGAGTTTTTATCAAAGAGAAAATGGAATAAATCAAAATCATGAATTAAGTCCTTTATTCTACTATTGGATAATCGAAGAAAAATCATTCTTTCTTGAGTGGTGAAAAACAAATTAGTGGCTTTGCAGCTTTTATGCAATAAAGTATTTCTTTCAGAAGCTTGTACAGCTGGACCAGTTAAGCTTTTCTTTGCAAAATAATGAGTAATAAAAGTCTAAAAAATATTAAAATATTCATGTTTGTTCTATTTTTTGGTCAGTTTTTTTCAAGTTTTCAAGAGCTGTTTGAATTCTGGGAACATGCATAAATAATTTCAACAAAGTAGATGATTTTCAATTAAATGCACAGTGTGGGAAAAAAAGTAAATACTCTGAATAACATTCGAGTTTCGAGATCAGATTTTCACGTGGTAAGCATCATTCTTAACCCTTTAGCGCCGACTGTCACAAATGCGAAACCGAATCAATCAGGGTAAAAAGATAAAACTAGTAACCAAAGTAGTTCTTTAACAGTTTATTTGTGGAAGGGGTTATAATTGTTTGATTTATTTAATTCACCATTACTTTAGTTCAAAATAAAATTATTTAGTTATACTTTGAACTAACAATGATTATATATATGATTAAACTAACAATAATTAAAGTAAAAGCAAAGTAAGTCTGTCAAATTAGCAACGCCTGCATTTAAGCTACCGTTTTTTATTTATTTACATCCTGATTCTGTATGAATGATTTTATGAATCACCCGTCCCCAAGGGGTTAATAGTTCGAAGGCTTAACCTTTATGATAATTGATTAGTGCAGACGATATTTTAAGTTACGAAATCAGAGACGTAAACGTACTGTCTCTTATTAAACATATCTTTTTTATCTGTATATTTTCGGATTCCACACCAGCGAAAAATGCGGGTGGTCGCAATCCAGAAAATATGGGCCAAGGCTCCATATTTTAATGGTCAGGAATCAAAAACCGACGAAAAGCAGGTATGTTTATTAAAAAAAAAGCACATTTTTGTTTTTTATTTCATAAATTAAAACATCGTCTGCACTAATTAATTAGCATATGTAAGGTAAGCCCCTCGAAGCATTAAGATTGTTCCTTAGTGCGTAAAAATCAGATCATTAGATCAAAATTATTCTGAGTGTTTACTTTTTCCCGCTCTATAATCGCTAAAACACGCTGTGCAAATCAAAATTGGAACATTTTGAAGAATTTCTGATCTGAGGATTGAATTTTGATGCAAAGAAATACAATTTTACTTGCTCCAAAGGAAAATATGGTATTTAATTAGTACAGGCTCTAGCGCCAATCTACATATAAAATACCATTCCTAAAGTTTCATCAGTAAAAGGGCTTTTAAGTTTGCGCGTTTTTCTCCATATCTCTGAAACTAAAATGATGACCTTGTGGAGCAAAAATTTGGTTTGCTTGCAAGTTAAGGTTGTTGTTTTTTTTTTTTTAACAATTTATTACTTTGCAACAGGACGTTTCGGTTCAACAGTAGCAAATTGATACTTTTATTTTTTAAGGCTTTATTACTGTTAGCCAATCATTTTCAAGCAAGCGAATTTTTCCGGAAAATTTTCGTCATTATTAAAAGCAGTAGCAAACTTTTATGCTGCAACATTTTATTTTTAGTTTAATAAATTTTGTTTGAAATAATTGTGACCATCAGTTTAGATAAATATTTAAAACAAATATATAAGACTTGATAATCAAGCCGGAATACTTTCGAGTGCTGGCAGAAATAAACAAATCAAGATTAATTGGATTAAAATTATCTTTGCAGAGAGGTCAAATTTATCCATAGTTATGGTGACATCCAGATAGACAGCTATACATAGACAACGAAAAAAATTTGTGTTACGAATTTTTGATTAAATGAACGCACAGTTCCTCATTTCAGTTTTAATGACTTGTAACAAACATATTTTTACATAAAGGATACTTATATTTTGTAAGTTATGCTTATTATTGTATTATTTTATAATTACTCTTTTATTACTTATAAAAAATAAAACCAAATTTTTTCTTGTTCTGATGCGAAACAGTGGTTAAAGCGAATGAATATATGGGTGATTATCACGAAATATGATAATTCACTGTCCTTTGCTCCAAGATCTAATACTATAATACTGAAAGAACTTTTTTCTAAAAATATTAATAAATTGCATTGCTGTTAGCATTTTAAAATGTCTTTGCACTAGCATTGACTGTTTTGTATAGTTAAAAAATTTAATTGAACTTCAAAATGTCATTTTCCTGGCATGTCCCAAACAATGTTTCCAATAATAACTAGCTTCAAAACTTCACATAAATTTTTCAATATCTAATTTTTTTTTTATCTCAGCCGGTGTAAGCATTTCTAGAATATACGCAAAGGGTATTATTTACAAAAAAACTTCGTTCAAAAAAAAATTTTCTGTCAATAATTTGTTTTTCCCAAGAAAATCTGTCATTTTCCTGGCTACTTTTATTTAGTGGTTTATAACCGAAATAGATAGAGCCAGCAATCAATATCTTATGTTAATAGATTGATTAGATGCCCTCCTATATGAACATGTCTTGTTGCATGAATAAAAAACCAATTTTCTGGTTCAAAATCTATTTTAAAAATTTTTTCAAGATGAGTAGGTTTTTGTGTTGTCATTTTCCTGGCTTCTTGAAATCATTAATAACATAAACTAAATAGATTTATCTGAGTTATTTTAAGAAATCCTGTTGTTTTCTGCAGAATGTAAACGTCTTAAGCCAAAATATTAAATTAAAGTTATATGCTATAAAATGGCGAGTTTGTCGTTATCCTGGCTGTCATTTTCCTGACTTATGAATTCCAGGACATTGAAGTGTTACCAGAAATTTTTTTAAACTGCTAATAGTGTAGGGAGGAAAAGTAAATATTAACCTAATACCAAGTTTATGTATGATTGTAATATGGTTGGATGTAATCAAAGCTATTTATTCATTTAATGACTGATTATTATACACAATTTTATTTTGTACACATCAGCAACAAAAAAAAATTTGATTCTTTTTACAATGGATAAAAAGAATTATTTTAAGCAATTTACGGTCCATCTAACATAAGGGCTTAAGTTGAGTTACTTACTATTAACTTAAAATGACTGTATTTTAAACATCTAAGCTAGTGTCATTCCAAGCTAATGCTTCTAATGTCATTTTCCTGGCATTCAAGATTTGGTGAATTTCAATTTTATTTTTTTTCTCGAGCAAATGTCAATAAACTACATTTCTGTCTGTAAGATATTAATAAATGTAACCAAAGAAGTATACAAAAATATTGTTAGATTATTTTGAAGACTTTCAGTTTGAAGAAATTTTTTAGTCCGAATTGTCATGTTTAAAAAGAATCACCCATACATCAAGAAGGAAAATTACGAAACTGGTAAAAAAGCTTATTTCATTTTGCTTGTTTTCGGAAAGATTAAAATACCCATGACTAAGTCAAGATTTTTTAATAGTTATGGAACATATAGGACTGCTTTTAACTTATGATAAATTTAGAGCTGCTAAATACTACGCTTTTGCGCAATATTTACTAAAGCTTTTGGAATTTTCGGAAATTTCGCCAACATTTTAAAAGCTCCAACAGGAGAGAGTTGAAAAAAGTGGTGTTTTATATGAACTTTTGAATCATTTTTATGTAGTCACAAAATCTGCTTTTATACAACTCGGATTTGCTTCCTGTATTGGAGTAAACCGCTTTCTCACATGTTTTATGCCTGGCAATGATGTAATTAGGATCGACTTTATAGTATTTTTCAAGATGTTTTTCAATGCTTCTGTCAAATTTGCCTTGATGTAAATAATATGCAGAATAAAAATAAAATTGTCATCCAAAGCAATTAGGTTCTACACTTGCAAGTAGAAAATAATTCGCTTTTTGTTGACTTTTTGCTCGGATTTATGATTTTTTCCAGCACTGTAAATCAATGAAAATGAAAATTTCTTTCAAAAGATGTAGTTTTTAATTTTCTAAAAAAAATTAATAAATCGAATTTTTGATTTGTTTTTTTCTTCTTTTTTTGCTTTTTCTGGGTTTTTTTTTACCCCCTTTGTTTTTCCTTTCAGCTTTTGTAGAAATACAGTACTCAGTTTTTAGTTTTCATCCATCATAAAGCAAAATAAAAATTTTGCAGCAAGCATTATCTAGTGCAAGATATTGGACTACACTTTCTTTGTTTTTAAATAGTTTTATTGCGAGTATTTCGCAACGAAGAGACGCAAAAATATTTATAACTAATTCGTAAAACAAGTTTTCATAAACATTGGTAATTTTTGAGGAGTTACTCACTTATAAATTTTCTAAATTTATCATTTAGGCAGAATTCATGATTTCGAAGCAGTGTGCAGCAAAAGGAAAATGTTCAGCAAAATGCTGTAAGTATTTTTGTGTATTCATTCATTTATTCATACTTATATATTTTCTTAAAAAAAATCAAAAATTATAAGGAAAACTATTTGTATAAATATTAACAGAGAGAATTTATTTAGCAACTTTTTGACTTATTTATATTTTTGTTCTTAGCTAATCGAACACTTGTTCATAGCACACATTAATAATGAATTCAGATTATTATAATACTGTTATAATACTATATATTAGATAATACAGCGTAAGAAGAAATCTGTTTATTTATTTAATTTATTTGTAATTTTTTTAACCATCCACAGATTTTATCCACGTAAACTGTCACGGAAAAAAAATCTTCGTTAGAACGAACAATTTAAAAATTAAATTTTACGAAAAACCTAGAAAAATAACAATATTCGCATTGCCATAAATAGATATTATACAAAATAAGACATGGTAAAAAAAAACTTATAAATTCGTGTTTCTCTGATATTATGAAATATAAGTTTTCCTTGATTTCAAAATTAAATTATCTATTGTTCAAGATGCTCTTATTTACACCGAAGAGCCATTACATTATGACCACCCTTCATCTATAACAATGGGCTCGCCCAGGTTTACATGGTTTCTCGCCCAGGCACAATGTTTTCATGGGTCACATTAGGACCCATAATCCTCATAGAACAATCCCTGACGTCTGTAAGCTACTTGAACATAGTTGCAGACCAGGTTCACCCATTCATGGCAACGGTTTTTCCTGCGGGGGGTGGTGTTTACCAACAGGATAATGCACCATGTCATAAGGGTCGAATCGTCGAGGAACATTCCAGTGATTTTCAAGTCATGTCCTGGCCCCCAAGTCAATCTGACCTTAATCCAATGGAGCATTTGTGGTCCTACTTGGAAAACCAAATTCGTGCTGCCACGCTACCCCCTCGCAATGTGAGGGAATTTGAGGACCAGTTGGTGAGCGCTTGGTACCAGATACCTCAGACNACCATATTTAAAATATAAATAAAGCATAATCTTATTTTTTTCTTCAGGTTTATATCAATTGTAAGTTTAGTAACAGTTTGAAATAATTATAATTAGATATCAATGTCAATTGTTTTCTAAAATAGCTAATGATTGAAAGTATACTTTTCATAATTATAATAAAAATTCGAAAACATTCTTCGTTGTTTTTTAAATTATTCAATCATTCTGTGAGAGAATTTCTGTGATAGCTCTCGAATGTAAACTAAGATAAACAAAAAAGCAAATTGGTATTTCAAATAAAAATGATTTCTTATTCATAGCAATCGCCACATTGAAAACCTCATACAAAATTATAATCAAACACTACAGAACAAATATAGGGCACTTTAAAAACATTCCTCTTAATATTATAATGATAAAACATAAATAATACAACTACAACAGAAATGTAAACATAACTAGGGTTAGCTCTCTCGCTTAAACATTTTTATAAGATTTGTAGCATTAATAATTCAGTAATAAAAATTGAAATGTATTAATAAAAAAGATGCCGTCGTTACTTAGGAATAAATATAAAAATAAGATATAAGTATTAAACTTACCAAATTCAAGCATTTTTATAACATCGATAGAACACATTTGTAGACAAACTTCTTCCATCGGTAGCGTGGATGGGAAGGGACAGAAAACGTATTTCGTCATAAAATTTTTCACTGATGTGCGCATGCGCTTGTTCTCCGTTACATGATCGTACCGAAGAAAAAGAAATGAAAGGCACAAAAGTCTTTTCGTACCGCGCATTGACTGGCGTTTGCTTTGGTGCCTTCAATTTCTCGTGGTGCCTCTCATTTTTAAAGGCACATTAGTTATGTGCCTCTTACGCGAGAAAATACACGGTACATTTAGCTTGTGCCTCTGAAATCAGAGGTACAGTTTTTAGAGTGTAGGCAACGAAAAAAAAATAGAGTTGCGAATTTTTGATTAAAAGAACGCGCAGTTCCTCATTTGAGTTTTAATGACTTGTATCAAACATTAAAGGATATTTATATTTTATAAATTATGCTTATACTTGTATTATTTTATAATTACTCTTTTATTACTTATAACAATAAAGAAAAAATTTTCTGGTTCTGATGCGAAACAGGGGTTAAAGCGAATGAATATATATCAAGAAGGAAAATTGCGAAAAATTTATTTCATTATGCTTGTTTTCGGAAAGATTAAAATACCCATGACTAAGTCAAGATTTTTTTAATAGTTATAAAATATATACGACTGCTTTTAACTTATGATAAATTTAGAGCTGCTAAATACTACGCTTTTGCGCAATATTTACTAAAGCTTTTGGAATTTTCGGAATTTTGCCAACATTTTAAAAGCTCCACCAAGAGAGAGTTGAAAAAAGTGGTGCTTTATATGAACTTTTGAATCATTTTCATGTAGTGATGTGGAAAGTACTTTTAAATCGACTTTTAAAAACAAAGAATCACACACACAAAACATGTTCCTAGCTACTATTAGAAGAAATTTTCCAAAAAAATGCAGTGAGTTTGCAGTCACGTAAAATAAATGGTGGTAATAGTTTAAAATTTTATTATTTGGAGCAGTTTCGAATTAAGAGTAGTAAAATTTATTTTACTCTCCACGAAAACCAACTGTAGGAATAAAATGGTTTTACTACCAGTTTTTCTTCTTTTCCGTCTTTCTTTCAAATCTGGTGTGAAAAATAATTTTATTATTGTTGGTTTTAATCGGGAAATATCAAATTTTGTTTTTCTTCTCTCACTTAGCATTTGAGATGCATTTTTTAAACGCATTCTTAAATGCAAACAGTGCTGGAAAAAAATATAAAAACACTGAAGAAAGTTATAAAACGTTCGAAAAAACGATTTACTAATACTTATTAATAAATTAAAACTATAGTTTTATTTTATAATATAGCCATAGGTTATGACAAAAATCAAAAGAAAAATGAAATTAGTAATTACAAAATACATTAAATATTACTTTATGTGTCATAATAAGATTTTAACACGCAGTAATATGAGATCCTTTGTTTTCTATCCCATTTATCAATCTCGAATTCATAAATCCAGATAGAGTTCGTAAAATGCAGGTATCTATTGTTCCAAGACATCTTGATCACATCAATCAAATCCAACATGCTCTTGAATTGTCGGCCAGATCTGTAGACGTCTCTTACTAATATGCACCAAAGTTTTTCTACTGGATTCAGATCTGGGCAACAAGATGGTCACTCAAAGGATTTAACCTCAACTGCTTTCTTCCAGAATTTTAGTCAAATATGAAGTATGGACAGCCGCATTGTCCTGTTGGAAGATCCAGTCTGCGAATGTTATAAGAAGAGCAAGAGGCAATAAATTATTTTTCAATTTATTCTGATACTAATTCATTTTAGTTTGTATAAATATAAATGGAGTTGTAGCGCCAGCTGCAAAAGTGGCGCAAACCATTACGGACTCACCACCAAATTGACGTTTGGAAAATGAGTGTAGTTCAGACCGTAAGTCATACCAGAAATATCGACATCCATCTCGTCTATCCAAATTAAATTTCTTTTCAACTGAAAAGACCACATCCCTCCAATTCGTACCTTAAGATGTTGCTTGGCAAATGCTAAGTAGCATCTTTGTGTGATTTAGTAAGAGGGAGTTTTCCTTAAATATTTTTTAAATAGAACGTTCGGATTACTTAAATAATTCCTAACCTTGCAGCTGCTGCATGGTAAATGCAATTTATTTTTAGTTTATGCAGATTACGTCTCACCGTGACTAGCAAGCTTCCAGATTCGTCTTTCTTGCCTTGATTATTATTAAATTTTTTTTTACCTTTCAATACACTGTTTACTGCTATAGCTTTCACGTGCAATCTACCAAACACGTGCAAACTACCGAAAACGTGTGCAACTACCATACGTGTGCAAACTTGCAAAATCTGCTTTTATACAACTCGGATTTGCTTCCTGTATTGGAGTAAACTGCTTTCTCGCGTGCTTTATGCCAGGTAATGATGTAATTAGGATCCACTTTATAGTTTTTTTAAAGATGTTTTTCAATGCTTCTGTCAAATTTGCCATGATGTAAATAATTTGCAGAATAAAAATAAAATTGCCATCCAAAGAAATTAGGTTCTACACTTGCAAGTAGAAAATAATTAGCTTATTTGTTGACTTTTTGCTCGGCTTTATACTTTTTTCCAGCACTGTAAATCAATGAAAATAAAAATAAAAATTTCTTTCAAAAGACGCAGTTTTTAATTTCTTCTAAAAAAATTAATCGAATTTTTGATTCGTTTTTTTTTCTTCCTTTTTTTGTTTTTTTCCTGTTTTTTCTGGGTTTTTTTCCCCTTTGTTTTTCCTTTCAGCTTTTGTAGGAATACAGTACTTAGTTTTTAGTTTCATCCATCATAAAGCAGAATAAAAATTTAGCAGCAAGCATTTTCTAGTGCAAGATATTGAACTACATTTTTTTTTGTTTTTATATAGTTTTATTGCGAATATTTCGTAACGAAAAGGCGCCTAAATTTTTATAACTAATCCGTAAAACAAGTTTTCATAAACATTGGTAATTTTTGAGGAGTTACGCACTTATAAATTTTCTAAACTTTTCATTTAGGCAGAGTTCATGATTTCGAAGCAGTGTGCAGCAAAAGGAAAATGTTCAGCAAAATGTTGTAAGTATTCTTGCGTATTCATTCATTTATTCATACTTATATTTTTTTTTAAATCTAAAATTATAAGGAAAACTTTTTGCATAAATATTAACAGAGAGAATCTATATGACAACTTTTTGACTTATTTATATTTTTGTTCTTAGCTAATCGAACACTTGTTCATAGCTAATCGGAACACATTGACAATGAATTCAGATTATTATAATACTATATATTAGGTAATACAGCGTAAGAAAAGTTCTGTTTATTTATTTAATTTATTTGCAATTTTTTTAACCATCCACAGATTTTATACTCGGAAATTGTCATGAAAAAAAAATCTTCGTTAGAACCAAAAATTTAAAAATTAAATTTTACGAAAAACCTAGAGAAATGACAGCTGCCGAAAATAGATATTATACAAAATAAGATATGGTAAAAACGTTTTTATAGATTCACTTTTCACAGATATTATGAAATATAAGTTTTCCTTGATTTCAAAATTAAATGATCCATTGTTCAAGATGCTCTTATTACACCGAAGAGCCATTACATTATGACCACCCTCCATCTATAACATTGGGCTCGCCCAGGTTCTCATGGTTTCTCGCCCAGGAGCAATGTTTTCATGGGGCACATTAGGACCCATAATCCTCATAGAACAATCCCTGACGTCTGCAAGCTACTTGAACATAGTTGCAGACCAGGTTCACCCATTCATGGCAACAGTTTCTCCTGCGGAGGATGGTGTTTATCAACAGGATAATGCACCATGTCATAAGGGTCGAATAGTCGAGGAACATTCCAGTGACTTTCAAGTCATGTCTTGGCCCCCAAATTCACCTGACCTTAATCCAATAGAGCATTTGTGGTCCTACTTGGAAAACCAAATTCGTGCTGCCAAGCTACTCCGTCGCAATGTGAGGGAATTGCAGGACCAGTTGGTGAGCGCTTGGTTCCAGATACCTCAGACTACCTATCAGCACCTTGAGGAAACAATGCCACGGCGGGTGCTAGCAGTTTTGAGGGTGGTCATAATGTAATGGCTCTTCGGTGTATACAGTAATATTATATAACTGTTGTTACTATATTTTTTTCCAGTGAAATTCAAGCTTTTCAAAATGCCAATGTCTTGGCAAGAAGCTCATGCCTCTTGTAGAGCAGAACAGGCCTACTTAGCTATGCCTAAGACTTGGAATGATCATGAAGTTTTAATAAGTAATTATAGTTTTTAAAAAATATTAAAATTGTGTTATTTGTGATTCTTAGCAGAACGTAACTTTATAAATAAACTTATTTTTTTCCATCTAAAGTGCAATTTTTCAGAACAGGGACGAATAATAAATATGGAAATACTTATAGCTCAACGAAAACAACCTCCAACTGCAAATGTTATGAAAAATTTTGTTTAACTAAATTGTTAGCACATTTTAATCGATCATGAATTAAAGTCTTTAGAAATTATGTTATTTTTTACCAATACAAAATTTGCACAGAAAGTTAAAAAAAGAAAAAAATCTTATAAATGCCATCGATTTTAAAAACATTCTTTAAGATTATGATATTAAGAAAAAGTATTTTTAGATTTTTAGTGAATATTTTTCAAAAATAAACTCAATTTCTTCCACTCGTTTTGGATGATATATATTTTGTACTAGGGATGTAACGAATATTCGGCCATTATTCGATATTCTGGCCATTTGTCGAATATTCGATTAGCCAAATATTCGGTATAGTATTATTTGGAAAATTATTTTTAAATAAAGTCTTCTTTTCGGGGAAATTTTAATAGATTTAATAAAGAGTAATCTAAAATCGTATTGTTTACTGTACATTATTAGAACAAATTTTTTCATATATTTGCTAAGTCCTAAAACTTGTTGACTTATATTTTGAAAGACACATGGAAAAGCGAAATTTGAAGGATTGAAACTAGATTACTATATACTGAACCATGAGTTTTGATATGCTGATTATTTTCTTTTCTTAATTTTATTCAGGCTAATTAATTTCTTCGTTTTTTCAACACTTTATGTTTTAAAAATTGAGAACCTTTTTTTGTTTCATTTTTGCTCCCATACATCAAGAA